CATCGTGATCGTCAATGATGACGTCATCAGTGACCTCAGTGATGACATCATCGGCATTGGGGGTCACGTGACCCCCAAGGTCACGTGACCCCCCAAGGTCACGTGACCACCCCCTGGTTAGTTTAACCCCCCCCCCCCCCCCCAGTGCCCTTCCCTCCTCCTCCTCAAGAGCTGCGCTCTAATTCGGCGTTACAGGGAGTTGTAAGCAGCTTTCACTTTTTTTCATTTGCCCCTTGTGCATTTTTCTGCTCTTAGTATGTATCCACCTTCTTGGTGGATGCGTATTATTTCTTGTATTCCCGATTTTTGAGAATTTCTTTTTCAGACCTTGACTGTAAAAGGGACATTATGTGGCGTGAACATACGGAAGCTGGATTTTCTTTACCGGTTTACAACATAGAGATATTGACGTCCCACGAAATCGAACTACTTTTCATATGCCGCTTCCTTTCATTAAGTGCACTTCTCCCAGCAGGAAACCTTTGCTTTGCATGGTGGCCAAAGGCATTGCAGTGTAGGTAAACCCAGAGCCATAGATAAGGGAAGTATTTGGCCATCTATCGTCCTCGATGACCTCTTGGCTCCTCCCAGTGGAGTGATGTTGCACCCAGCAACCCCCTAGACACCGCTTAGGAACTGCTTAGCAACCACCTAGCAACGGGTGCCATGCGAACGATGCACACCTATCCGCCATTACCAATGCCACTCTCCATGTGCTTAGATGCAGGGCCAGATGTTCCCCCTGTACCAACCTCTGTTTTAACGCAATAGCGTTAAGGAGTGCGTGCTGCAGAAGATCTGGCCTCGATGGCATGGCAGAAAGGCTGGTGTCGGTGGTGTGATGCGAAAATACTGATTCATCGATAGGGTCACAACGTCACAGCCACATGACCTTGCACGGGAATTTCAAACAACCCACAGCGCTCGAGTGAAACGTTATGTCATGCGTGGAATGAAAGTGATTAAAAAAAAAAATGACATTTGATGTGAATTTAAGGTTGTCACATGTCTGAAATGATATCACCTTATAAAGTATCGCATTTGCCTTAAAAAAAAAAAAAATGAAGAATTTTAGACGGGATTTGAACCCACGACCCTTCGGTTGTGAGCCAGACACGCTACTGACTGGGCCATGTCCACCGTACTTCCTGCTCACTGGCGGGAAGAGCATGAGATCCAAATCCAAAGGTGATGCGAACTGGGCCCGATAGCGCTATCACGTTCCACTCTTAAAGGCGAAGCTTAAGCATCTTCCAATTTTTTTTAGATTTCCTGGTTAGAAAATGGTCGTATGTTATGCTGTTGAATGCTCCAACCACAGCCTTCAAGGTTTTCATTTTTGTATAACCCTGAAAGGTAACCAATTTTGTTTTCGAAATATATAGTAGTTGATGAAAATCAAGGGGACGCCCATGGCAAGCTCCCGGCTTTGAGAGAAGCTTGTTTCGACTGGAAAGTTTTGTTTACAGAATACAGCTGTGGTTAAAGTTCCGATCATACGGGTACGGGTTTCTAAATAATGGTCAGTAGCTTCAATTTCGTCACAGAAGTTCTTGAACTAGCTGCTTGCCCATGAAGTTATGATGCTGACCCTATCCTGGTCAAGACCATAATGCAACTGTTTGTAGCGGAAGACGGGGACGTCTTATGCTACACGCTGTGCTGCTTATTAAGGGCAAAGCTCCGTAGGGTCTAGGCTTGTCCGTCCGGCGTCCGTGCTCACATCGATTGCCATCCCATCTGTCTTCTTAAAAAAAGAAAAGAAATGTTTGCGCAGTCGACAGGATTCGAACCTGTGCGGGCAGACCCCAATGGATTTCTACTCCATCGCCTTAACCACTCGGCCACGACTGCGGGACAAGTAGGGGGCTCTGAGACACGGTAGTAACTCAAGAGCTGTGGATGTCGTGGATGAGACGGTGCACGTAGCCGCTTAACGTCTATACAGGAGAGGGCGCTGCGGTCAAATGCGTATATAATCGCGTTAAACTTTGCATCCATTGGCTCAACGTTTATAGACGAAAAACAATCAGCACCATCAGCACTACCTATGAACAATAAAATCAGTATCATCAACACCACCAGAGCTTCGCCCCAATCAACATCATTCACCACGTGGAGATGCGGTCATTTTTTTTTTCTGCCTTACTTCCCAAACCATGAAGTGAACTAATCGAAACTTTAATTGATGACTTCCAATAAATGTATTACCGGATTTACATATGAAAAAGCTTGTTTGTTGATTTTTGTCTTGTTTATTTTTATGTGCCGATACGATGATGGGTGCTGGGACCTCAGTACTGTGGGAAGGGCCAATCAATTGATTTTAAATATATTATTTCAAAACGAGCTAACTCACTATTTGCGGAGATTCGTCTGACGCTGAGCCCTGTTTCATCAATGAAGGTTTTCGATTGAGGATTGCAGTAGGCATTCACGGCTCAATCATCCAATATCAGGATCCTCACCTCGAGCAAGCAATCTTATTTGACTCGCCGACGTGTGACTGAGAGGAAATTACAGTAAAACCTCGTTAACAAAGTTGAAGGAGCGGTCGTAATTATTTCGTTATAACCATTAGTTTGTTATAAGCCAATGTCCATTTCTTCCCACTATTAGCAAGCAAGGGGAATTATGATTGCTTTGTTATATCCATTAGTTTGTTATATCCCGTTTTGTTATAACGAGGTTTTACTGTACATTAATAAACAAAGTTCCGTAAAACTAAGCTCATTTTTACGTTCTCACAGACCATTTTCTTAGAAGATATCTCGGGTGACAGCATCATCCTGTAACGCATTGACAACTTATCTACACTTGCCGACCCGAAAATTCTACCGAAAGTTTGTCCGCTGCAAGTTAAAGTTGTCACTCAGAAAGAAAAAAAAATTAATGAGAGTCTGAAAAAATCTAAATTTCCGCGATGCCCCGAGCGCACGCAATGCGCATGAACAGGCTGATGTTGATGCGTGTATGGAGGAAAAATTGACAACCAGAAACTTACTCACTGTGGTTCCTAAGAAAAAAACACATCAGACAGCATAAATACCACTAATGGTAGAATTTAAACAGAATCAAACAGTCATACGTTGAAGGGTACCGAGAGCCAAGCTCACAGTTGTAAATACCTGTTGTGGGTGGTATCGAAGATGGCAAAATGGGGCATGGCCATGGCATTTGCGTGACGTGTCATTGACATCGTTGACAAACTAGCTGTCAAGCAGGTCACGACCCGTTGACCAAACTCTTCCCCTATCAATAGCTCTGGGTAAACCCAATGGTTTTCTCTTTTCCCGTATTTCAACATAACCTCCATCGGCCCTCCACTGCTCTTTCAGAAAACTGATTTGAGCTAAGAATACTCTGATTCACGCTTCTTCATCACCTTGCACTGGCATTGGTCACATCTTGTGGAACAGCACCCATGGCATGCACAACAATCGTTAAGACGTTTTATCTTTCAGGAAAACAGAAAAACACAAAATTTGTGCCCTTGTTTCCTGACGAATGCCCAGAGCAGACATTTGTCGAGCTGGCACTATTCCTTGCCTGCATAAAACTGACAACGAAGAATCAATCAACTTCAATTTTGCAAAATGGCGACAGTGCTGTTAATTTCATACCACTTACATGCTGCTATGGTACGGTAGTAATACAGTGCAAACATGGCACGCTGCTTTTGCTGTAAAATAGTGTGTGTAACTTTTAAACGAGGATTCCACCTGTTTCTACATTGATTATTTGTCGTTCACTCTTACCATCCTGACTTTAATGCATGGGACCTGTGCAAGCACCCATCAGTTCCTTACGAATGACTATACGCCGTTCAACTGTTGAACCCACGTTGTGTAAGAAAATGGGAAAACCCAAGACTCAAAAAAAAACACAGAGCCAGTCTTTGGGTTTTCCTACTTAATGGTTTGCCCGTGTCTTCAGCATTTTTCCTGTCGATTCCATTTTTGGGCTTTCACAGAGGCATCATTTTGGGACATTACATATGAGAGTGGAATTATGCAAACAAGCAAAAGAAATTTAAAAACAAATAATACTATCCGCAAATGATAGAAGGTGTTAAAGGGATACTGACAGGGTATTTATGTTCACCAAGGTTCTTATTTGTACGACATATGAGAGCCCAACTACCCAGAAAACCATTCGCCACTCAAAATTCGGTTTCTTTCCGCCCGAAAACCGCCGATCAAGAACTGGCCGGTTTCAGTTGCGCTCACTCTCTTCTCCGTGGTCACGTCCTGTGTTCTATGGTTTAGGTACAACCACCAAATGTAATCAAAGTCGTTGGTCATTGAAGGCATACACACAATAAGAAAAATAGATATAAAATATGATACCCATTTTTTTTTTTTTTTTTTTGTGGCTTCTAAAAGCCTGCAAATAAGTTGATTGGGAAAAAAATGTATCACAGCCACGTGACTTGCGCCATGTCTCCCCCCCTCTATATTTCTTCTTCCTCCCCAATCCAGTTTCGGTTTCGAGCGGTTGCATTTCTTTACTTTATTAAAAATATATGCGACGCTGTTGCAAAGCATTGATTGGGTAGTCTTCTAACACCATAATAAATTGCCTGGCAAAAAAGAAAAAATAAATTTTCGGGGGTGTCAGTGCCCCTTAAACACGTGCGGTGCGTACTTTGTCCTAATAATGCCGCATGAAGCCAACAGAATAAAAAAAACATTCAAGCAGACGCATATTTGGCTGAGCTACAAATAAACGCGTTCGCCGAACTTTATTTGTGTCATTGTTGGAGCAAGTAATGGCACTTGTGTCACGCATTTGTGGCATCTTGTTAATCAGTAAGCCATTTCAAGTCTCATTGTTTTGACCTTAAAAACGAAGGAGCTGCAATTATTTTCAAGATGCAGTCATGGCACGCATTACAATCCATAAGCATTGATCCTTTTTATTTTGATCGTTCTGCTGACAGCTATGCTTGGTTTGGGTGTGCTTGTGCTCATTTCAATGTCGCACCTTTTGTCGCACAGCCAAGGTGTGCCGGTTCCTGATCTCCAACAAGCACCACACGGAGGCTCCGTTCGAGGTCCGGATCACGGATGATGCCAAAGGCGAGGCGGAGCTCTTTGCCAAGAAGGACCTCAACTGCGAGAAGCATCGCAATTACAAGTTCGACATTGCGGCCGTGGGCTGCAATGGGCTCGTCTCTGAAAAGCAAGCGACTCTCCTCTTTTCTTCGGGTCTTTGTTGGCCCCTCTCTTTTCATTCCAAAGGCAACACAGTTGACACGAATGCAGTGTCGGCCCTGCATTCATGTTGGTTGTGAGAACCAGTTTGTACTGCCTAAGTTGTAGCTGCCCTACATCAGCACATTCGATTACAGCAGGTAGTTAGTTTGATCACAGCCTCCGAGTTGTGAAAGAAGCACGAGAAAAAAAAAAGTGCTTGCATGTTTGTGTCACACTTTGTGCTGCCAAGATCAGCGTAGTTTCGAATGTGATGAAATTTGTAATGTTGATAGAAGCTTACCACCAAAGAACTGCAGAAAATTGCGTTGCAGCTAGACCAAAAGGCAAGGAATGTGGTGTATCTTGGTACCGACACTGAAAATAGATTATATTACAAAGAAGCAAACAATTCAATCGTAATAAGTTAGTAGTATAGCTTCTTGATTTTATGTTGGTGTAGTAAAGATTAGCTGCTGTTTCTTTTGGTTATTGAAGCAAATGGTTTTTCGGTTATTTGATCAATAATGTGCTTTCACTTATTGAATCTTTACTTTACTGACATGCAGCATCAAGAAACTCTTTTAAAACTTTCTGATTGATTGGTACGATTCTGTGTGATATTTGTGTTAATATTGTCGACATTATCAGCATGGATGTTGGACAGTCGTAACTTACTCTGACCGAAATCAGCCAAAAACGTGCACGTGGATTGGCTCTCCTCACGCTCCGAGAAGAGGCAAGAGAGGGACCCTTCCCTAGAAGGTTGGAAAATGATTCAGTTCTAATGAATTGTGATCACGGGGAACCAGAGCGAAAGCTAGGCAGCAAAACAAAGACATTGCCAAGCCTAGGATTGCCCGGTGGGCGATCATTTGCATCGAGGAAAGCGGGAGCACGCATAGAGCTCGCAATGTTTCTAGGGCTTGTTAGGAGGCATTCATTTGTATGCACATAATGAGCCGTCCTCCAATTGCCTCCATCAGCCTGCGTCGGAGGGGCCCGTGCATACGCTTTGCATAAGCAGCTTGTCGTACAAATAATGAAGGTCACGGGCTCGAGCGCATTCTCCTCTTCAAGGAGCGTCAGGTGCGTAGTACCGAGCACACGGGCAGTGTGCCGAGTACCTGGCATACTTCCCTGTTTCACTTGGCCCGTGCTCCCCAAGAAACATAGTATTTCTTTTCTTTTTTAAATTTAGTAGCAGAGTATGCATATATCTGCGCACAGGGCCTCTTCATCTCGTGTGAAGGTATCTCGACATGCAAAACTTCTAGCTCGAGTCGAGAAAGAAGAAAGGTGGCACGAACAAACTATCTTAATTGGCAGGTTGTTCTGGAACTAATATGCGGCTCCGGCTCACTTGGAAGCAGTTTCTTCCGAGAGATAAGTAATAAGCGTGGCAAATCGTAACGAGATTTGTAAAGCTCTACAAGACTACCGTGTGTATGAGTTTTATCTTCATTTGTAATCGTGCTGCAAGAGTGAGGGAAAGTGCATCCCAGAAAAAATTGGCTGCTTGTTTTCTCACACAAGTTCTCTGAATTTTATGGCTGAAACTATATGTAAAATATTCGACATCACGCAGTTCTGTGCAAAATGACCCAGAGCACAGCCTGCAATAAACTGCCCTAGGTAGCTCCTGTCTTTAGGAACCAAACCCTTATCCCGCTTCTTTCTCTCGTCAGTACCACAACGTTTTCCAAGTATTAGGGCCGCAAGCATATTTTTTTACAACGCTAAAAATTTACATTGACAAACAGAGAATCTGTGGAAAAAATGGAAGCCCAAAATAACACACTGAAATTTTAAGAAAGATAAAAAACGTGCCTAGTACGCTAATCAATATTCGCTTCGAGATGAACTGCGATATTCATATTTTTCATAGCGTTAATCGCAGCAGGTTAGCTCCTTTGACTGAGTGCACTTTTTATCGAGCATCGGTGCACTGCAGAGAAGCAACACTCGCTGAAGTGAGCTCCACAAGTGTTGCCTCTTTGTAGTGCACCGGTGCTTGGTAAGAAGCGCACTTAATGGGGTAACTTGCCGCGATTAATTGCAATCGCCTGCTGGTAGAAAAGCAATCTTTCAGAACGGGGGACGGTGCATGCACACGCTTGCACAAAAACTATGTGAATGTAGACTTTTCAAAATTTAAACTGTGGCTGTTATGCCCTGTGGTAAGGGTGACATTTGAGCTAGTTGGTAGTCTAGCATTTTGAGGTATTGAGCGCACAAGGTAGAGAGAAGAAGAACAATAGGACAGAAAAAAGTGCTGCTCGCAACTGTAGGTTTACCGACAAGAAAAGAAAGGAGGAGCGATCTACCCCAGACACGTGCATCTACCACCAGTCCCGTGAATGACAGTCGCCCGTTCCTCCAGGGTCGTGATGGAGCCATCATTGTCTTTCGTAGGAATTATTTTTTCTCGTTTGATAACTTCACCGATTCTACACTTCCACAGCTCTTGTTTTCAGAGAGCTTGTTGAAGGCCTCCAGCACCTCGTGGGTCAGTTTGTCGTCGTTCCTCCCGAAGATGCTTCTCTCGCCGAGTAGTGGGCTGCATGCGCACTCACTACATGTGCACTCCCTACAAAGAAAACAAGGCCAGTGGTTACACTGTACATTTACAGGATGGCCCGTAAATTAAAAAAAACAACGTTGCAAGCATCATGGAGTCAGTGTAATGTTTTCAGCACCGCAAAAAATGAGTCAAAATTGTTCTACAGTGAATGTGCATGCTGAGGGTACCACAAAACAGGAGTGCACCAAAAAGCATGCAAACCCATCTCTCCCATGCGCTTCAGCCGTCGTATATAAGATACCACTTTCGTGTGGCAAGAGCTACATAGGCGAAACGAGCAGATGCCTCAATGATTGACTTTTTGAGCATGATTACTCCTTGAAGGCTACGGTGAGTGGCCATCTTCCAATTCATTGTAAGGAGTGCACATGCGGACCGTCGTTCGGCGAGACGAGCATCTTGGGGAGGAACAATGACAAAATGACCCGCGAGGTGCTAGAGGCCTTCCACATTCTGAGTGAAGGCAAGAACTGTATAAGTGTAGAATCGGTGACGCTATCAAACAGGAAAAGAGAATTCCTACATCAGGCATTGAAGGCCGCATCATGAGTTTGGATAAACGAGCGGTGTCAGGGGTGGATCATTCCTTCTATCTTTTCTTCTGAAAATTTAATTGGGAAATTGAAGCTCGTTTTTGTCCGTTTTCGGTAACTGGTGCTATTCAAGGCTATGTATTCAGGAGCTCCGTGGCTGCCATTTTTCCATCGAAAATTTAAAAAACTTTGGCATCATGGTTTTAACTGCTAAGGCTACATTTGAGCAAAAAATAAGCGTTCAACAATGCATAGTTTACTTTTGTAATAAAAGAAACCCTGTGAATTTTTTATTTTTTTTGGTGGGGAGGACACTCTGTAGATGGATTGAATTAACTTAGCATGTAAATGAACAAGTATAAGCTTGGGAAGAAAATTCACGAATTCTGCTGTGTTTTCATTTAAAAGCATGGCACAACAGTAGTGAGAGGCTTGGAGAAACTATTTGATATTCGATTAGAAAATATTTGGCCAAAACTGCTTTTTGCTTCAAATTCACTTCGAACCCAAAATCTTTTATCTGCACCTGCTTAATTTTTTCAGTGAAAAATGTGCCAGTCGTACCTCAGTTATTCTCCCCTGCTTTGGCCCAAATAGGCTGGTAGTATTGATAAGCAATAAATAATAACCTACCGTAATATTCCGAGAGATTGGCCACGTAAAATCAAGAGCAATTCATGGGAAAACAGGGAGTAAGCTAACCTTCAATGTATGAAAAAAAAAAAAAAACTTGTGGTGAAAGTGCGTGAAGGTGTGTTTACACTTTCTCCACTCACCGTCAAAAGCTTTAAACGAGCAGTCGCTACCACTCTCAAACAAACTGTCAATCACTTCGTCACGTAGGCCCAGCGACCTTTCAAGCATGTTATCGCCGCAGGGGAGGGCTGTGAACCGAAGACGACTGTTCTGCCCAGTCAGCATTTATCGCCTGCCTAACTGGCACCGTTTCCATCGAGGTCACCGTTGGCCCGGGCAGTGCAATTACTAGAAATGGCATCTTTCGGTGTTTTGGGCAAAATACCGAATTGCACCAAAGGTAGGGGTGGGTTATCTTTCCGGGGTGGGGCATCTCTCTGGATATTACGCTCCCTCTGCACCGTGACACATTACACCCAAAGGGAGTTTTTGTTGTACTGGATGTCTGAGGTGGACCCTCTGCGCAGCGTGACGGTGCACCTGTCGGTGGACGACGTGAACGAGTTTGCGCCCCGGTGGGAGGAGGAGTCGTACCAGGGCAGCGTGGACGAGGGACGTCCCCCGCACGAGCGGGTGCTGCGCGTCAGGGCGCTCGACGCAGACTGCACCCCCAAGAACAGCGAGATCTGCAAGTACGACATCCTCGACGCCCACGTGCCCTTCTCCATAGACTCCGAGGGTGAGTTCCACCTCTCCGTACTCCGCCGTCTCTCGAGTGGCTTCGCTCGCGGCGGGAAGGAACTGAAACCGAAAGACGATCTGCGGGGTGTACCAACGAGGACGCGAGGTTTAACTTTTGTAATAAAATGTATCACTCATTCAATGAGTGCCAATATTTCGATGCCTGTACAAGGCACGGACACACGACGATTAATTGTGGAACGCAATATATGACAGACGTCCCCCTCGTCTCTGCCGGAACACCCTTCCTGTTGTTCCGAAAACCATTTTCCGGCCGTGTCAACTCGTGCGGTGTCACGCGAAATTGGCCACCGAGTTTGTGTGATTGGACATTGTGCAACTTTTTTTATTTGGCGGTTTGTGGAATCTTCTGTCTGTGGCAACAAACTGAAAACAAATCCTGAGGTCAAGATGGAAATTCGATGCATTATTTTGCAAAATTGAGCTGCCATTGAGAATTTCGCCAAAGATAGAAAGAATGTGGCACCCTAACTTTGAGGACACTTGTCGGATATTGCGTTTCACAATTGATCGCAGCGTGTGTATTTTATGCCGAAGTAAAAATATTGTCACTTTCTCAATAAATTATGCGTTTCATCACGAAGTTGAACCTTAAGCCCTTTCCAGACGCTCTATGACTCTCGGACGATGTGAGCCATTTGGTCTTTCCGAACTGTGGGGCACTAGCTCTGTCCCTACAAAACAGGAAAGTAGCAAAGTCCACTGGAAGAACTTGGAACTTCCTCAAAGCTTCTCGGTAACAGCAATGAAGAATCTAAGAGGCGGTTTCTGCAGGGCACCTCTTATGGTACCCTGAAGGCACTGCGTAAGTCTTTTGGGCTTCCCCAAAAATGCCAGATCTCCTGAAGAAATGTTGGCTGCTACCTTGAGGCTCTCAGGAGTTTCCATTTCAAGTAGTTAGTACTCCCTTCCTGTAATAGATTAGTGAACATCATTCTACGATAACTCCAGAAATAAGGGCAGTTTGATCGGGGATGGCATTTCTAATGAATTCCCGCATGCATGCATTATACTTTCCGTTCTTGTTGTCAAGTTCCGTTTTCATTCAAATGTCGGCCCACTTCTTTCACATCACATCTGCAAAAGAGAAAAAGACACTTCTTTTTTAACTGTAATTACAGATCTAGTTATTTTGTAAAGCTGTTGGAGACCTCGAAGCAATTTGGAGCACTCTGTGAACACTGTGCATATACCAGACTAGTCATGTAAGTTTTGATAATCGTTTTAACTTTTCTTTGTCTCACCTGTGCAATGTGTTTTTTTGGTCATGTGGACACACTGAAACCATACGATGTGCATTGTCGTTTTTGTTTTGTTTTCTTTTGTGACTTCGTGCGACAGCCAGTGCTGCTGACACATAAACTACTGCAAAGAAGTCCATATTTGCTTGCTTAAAATATCCAAATTTTCTAGTAGTATGTCTTTTTCGGGATTATTTTGTACCAGCGAAATTTCACGATTGGAAGCAAGTCGCTTATCGAGACCCATATATGTAAGTGTGACATGTTTGCATGATCAATTATAGGTAATTGTTTTCTGCTTGTGAGATTTGCAAAAACTAAGCTGTGTTTTATGCCTTTGTGCCGTACACTTCTGTGCATGCCCAAATATTCTTTACCCAGTACTATTAAAATTTTGTTGGAGTTGGGAACAGTTGGCCACTAACGCTCCCTCCGCTGTGCTGATTGCCTCGGTAAAATTTTTTCTTCTGTCTCGATACGTGCACCGCATTTGACAATTTATTCTGTTTTTGAAGTTCCAACCCCAGTCTTTTTTCTTTGTTAGTTTTTATGTTTTTCAGTGTTTGCCTTTGCATGCTTTCTGAGGGTGCCTTGATTTTCAAGGGCAGCTCATTATGCAAAGCGGATTAGTGGGGAAGCGGGAACGCAGGAAAACTCAATCAGCATGTGGTAGCACTATAGTACTTTTAGCTTTACTGTGGCTATTTCTGCTTTCTTTCCAAGTCTGGCTTTTATGTAGACAAAAATTGAAGTTTGCAACTTTGCTTCTCTCTTGACAAGTTCTTTTGAATTTGTGTGCATCACACGTATTGCTAATTATTTTACATAATGTCCATGTTCCTTTTATTTTTTAACATGTGTAGGCCTTATTGCTAGAGTGGTTCCCAGTAAAGCAGTGGTTCTCAACCATTGATGTTTTGCGAACCCCTTGTGGATTGGCGGAGATGATGAAGGACCCATTCGAGGTGGGGGAAGGGAAAGGTATTATTTAATTACGATAATGATTTAATAAATGGATATAACTAAGGGCTGGTGTAAAGTAGACTTCTCTCATTGACATGCACACGAGAAAACTCACCCGAAAATTGGAACGTTTCTTTTCAATCTGAAAACGACAGCTTTTATTGCCAGACTTGACTGATGAGGCAGTGCTTTGCGGATCCCTAGAATTCCTTTGCAGATCCCCATTTGAGAACCACTGCAGTAAAGGTACTGATAGTATTACCGTAAAATACCGAGGAAGCGCCCATACCCGTACAAGCGCCCACTATTAACATTTTTGAAATTCGAAAATTTGGGCAAGTACACATCAAGCGCCCTAATAAGCGCCCATAGTTGGCTTTACGCGTATTTCGATAAAATGAGGGTGGGCGTTTCTTCGGTATTTTACGGTAGGCATAAAATACTAGAATACAGTTATGAAGCATTGACACGAATTGCTTTCGTAGCCTTTATAAAAGGCACGTTCCGATCATTTTCTCCAAGGTTTCTTTTTTGATGTGTACCCTAACATGCTAAAACCCCCGAGTTATATTTTCGTCATGTGAACTGCTGTTTTTTTGTTGTTGTTTTTTCAAATCTTATTTACTTATATATCTAGAACATAGTATTTTTTCCAGATAAAATGGATTGAACACAATTCCCAATATAAGTGCCACTGAAGTTGTTCTGCACGACCATTTCAAAGTGGTGATGAATGTTATCACTTAATGTTCTCGTTTGGTAGGCACTGAAAAGATGGATCCTTCGAGTGCTTAAAACACATACCAACTTCTCTAAAAGAAATAGAAAGGACAAAAACAAGCCAGTCTCATTGCAGTTTTACGCAAGGAAGCCCAGCAAACAACAAGGTTCGGACGAGTTTGTCAACGCAAAAATGAGACCTTTGGACACGTCGGGATTAGTCACCTTTTGAGCCATGCATCTCACCTGGCTCGATCCATAGGTTGCGGTGATTGGCTCCCTGGATTCTCTGCGGTAAAATAGATCCTTTCCAGACTGCATGGCAGAAAAAACGAGGCTCTGGGCATGGAGAAAGAGAGGTAGAGAAGGGTCCCTTGACGGCGTCTCTTCCCTTTCCTCCCCACGTCGGTGCAGGCACGCTGTGGACCACTGAGCCCCTGGACTGGGAGGTGAGCAGCAACCACATCTTCCAGGTGGTGGCCTTCGACTGCAGCATGAAGCAGAGTCGCCCCGTCACCATCACCGTGCGGGTCAACAGGGTCTGCCGTGTTGGCTGGAAAGGTGAGCACTCCCCGCGGGGGAGGACCCCGTCGTTTAAACTTTCCCGCCGCGTCATCTTCGTCATCTACTACTTCCCCGGTTGTGAGGCTGGTCCACGTGAAAGGTTTCACTCCACCCCGGAAGTTTGGATTGGTTGGAAAGAATGACAGGGGTTTTCGTTTGGCTGGACCTCAAGCTTGTGGTGGGATAGGAAGCTGGGTAGTTGGTTCCTCACGTGCTTAGAATGCGGAGGCAGCTAGGACAAGAAATGGGCGAGGAATATCAATGTCATCTATTTCTTGTCCGCGTCGTTTTCGTGTCTGAAGTTTCTCGTTACGTCGTGACAAGCTACCCAGCTTTCTGCGGCATGGCCTCAGAATAAAGATAACTCATTAGGTTCTGCCAGGCATTTGACTGTGCGTGTCGCCAGCTGGTTTTATTCGGGCCTTTTAACCTCAGGGGGTGGAGACCGATGAGACAACGCAGCATGGATCTATTTTTTTATGTGTCACACACTTGTCTCTGGATTGGTTGCGCTGCATAAGTTGTCTCCTGAGAGCGGAAGCGTGTTTTGTGCCGTCATGCTTTTGACGTGTTCCAAGTTGAAACGGAACTATATGGTCCTGAGGTGAATGTTGCTGACTCAGTGATATCGCGGTTTGCTATGGGCAAAGAGGAAATTCGGAATGAGGGAGAGAGATATCCACGAGGGACATGGGGAAAAAAAAAATTAACAAACGAAATGACAATTTATGATAATTGCTACGTAAAGAAGATATATTTGTATGCCCCCCCCCCCTTTTTTTTCCAATGAGAAAAAAAAAAAAAAAAGCTAAGGGAAAAAAAAAACAGTGCTTAGCCTACTAAATCAAAGTTATTCTGCTGAAGTACAGTCAGGTTTTCAGTGCCATTTCACGGTAATTGCTAAGTCTGGAATTTTGAAAATTCAGGGTAAACCTTTGTTACATTGAATACAGCAAATTTAGTAGCCACCTGCAACCCAAAGATATCCACACCCAGTGAGTATGAAACACTTTGCTGCACCCTGCGGCAAGATGCACCCTCATTCCCATCTCCATACAACCAATGCATCGAAATACTACCACAAGCCTCGAAACAAAGTCCCGCTAAAGAATTTGTTTCTTGCGTACTGATTTGTTGCATATGACCGTCCGATTGAATGAACCTCTTTCCAAGGATTGTCAAAAACCTGCCATAGCGGCGCGTCTGTCACATACTCTCCTTCTGAGACGCACTGCTTGCGCTCCCTGCAGGCTTGGAGGAGCGGGTGGAGTACAGCCCAGGGTCCGGGCGGCGAGCCCTGTTCCCGGACGCGCAGCTGGAGCTCTGCGAGGGTAGCTGCGACCCCGAGCAGCTCACGGCCCGGCTGACCCTGGCCACCCGCCACGTGGGCAAGGGATGCGACAGGGACACCTACTCGGTGGACTCTCAGAGAAAGCTTTGCGGTGAGGGACCCTTCTTTTGAGCCGTGTCCCGGACGTGGCCTCGACCAGCACATTATTTAATGCAGACCCCTCTCTCGCACATCATTAATGTCTCATGGGGCTACTGCAACTAGATACCTTCATGTGAGGCGTAGGGCACTGAAGTGACTGTCAGCCGCTGCAACCTTTAATTTCCTAGTTTTGCTACTTGTAAGCCCTATGGTCCCTCTCACTGCATTCCACCTCCGACAATTTGGACTACCGTAAAATACCGGACAAGTGCCCACTCAAACTTTGGAGATAATCGCAAAAAAATGGGGTAATGGGCCCTTCTCCGGTCATCAGTTTTACATGTAAATGTACTGTGTGTATTTTCTCAGATCCTACAAATTTGGGAATGGGCGCTTAGTGTGGTGTGGGCGGATGCACGGTATTCTATGGTAAGCGAGTTATCTACCGCCAAGATAGAATACCGCCTTTGCGTAAGGAACTCGAGTTTCATAAATGTCCATTTGGTCAAACTTAACTTGTGCGAACGAAACCTGAAACGGGTTCCCTCTGCCCCACGAATCCGAAGTCTCCGTCCTGAGCCCCGGTTGATGCGGGAACCCGGCACCGCAGGGGCCAGCTCGGACAGCGTGGACTTGCTGCCGAGCCCCGGGGTGGGCGCTGAGTGGACCCAGGGCCTTCCGACGGACGAGGGGCGTGAGAGCGACCAGATTTACGAGTTTGACGGGGCCACCAACGCCGTGGTGATCCCAGAGTCCACCGTGAGCCACAACCTGACCAACACCTTCACGGTGGGCTTCTGGATGCGCCACAAGGCGCCCACAGGCGGTGCCGCCCACAACGCCTCCCACCTCAAGGAGCACGTGCTGTGCAACTCCGACGACCACCGTAAGTGCGCTCGCTGGACGGGGCACTTTTGGAAGGTGTTGCCACCATACGACGATGCGGAACTGTATGCTGCGCTTACGGTTAAAGGGACGCTGCTATAAAAAAAATTTTTGAAAGAGCATAGATGGGACACATATTTTTAACGTGAAAGCGTTAAGGAGCTCATGTCACAGAAAAGTTGGTGTCGGTGGCGTGACGCGAAAATCCTGATTGGTCAAGAGGGTCAGGACGTCGCAGCCACATGACCTCGCGCAGGAATTTTAAACAACCCGCAACGCTCACATGAATCAGGATGTCACGCGTGGAATGAAAGTGATTAAAAACATGACATGTAATGCGAATTAAACCAAGTTATGAAGTGCTGGAAAAGAATGATAAATTCATTTGCTACATTGGTATTGTATTTTCCGGGCTATTGTCCGCACTTGGTGCACGGATCGCAGAGACCAATTTAGGCTGAAAAAAATCATGAGCTACTCCACTCTGCGAAGGCGGATGACGAGCGAAGCTGTTTAGCAGACGACGCAGGCGTCACGCAGAATTTTGAACAAAGGTACAAACACATTTATTGTCTTCATTGGTGATCATTGTGACGAAAGGTACGCAGACACATGTCGAGGACTATCGCCTCCCCAAGAAAGCCGGAACAAACTAGACACGCGCAACAAGTCTGCCACCCGGCAAAAAGTAGACACGCACGACGGGATTGCCACCCCGGGGAAGGAAAGGAAACGAGGCACGCAAGCGCTTGGAACAATGACAAAGAGAGGGTGGTGCGAGTTTAGACAGCCGAAGGAAACTATATGCGCGTGACCGGACCGCCACCCGGCAGAAGGTAGATATGCGCGACGGGACCGCCACTTCAGGGAAGAAATGAAAGGAAACTAGGCACGCAAGCGCTTGGAACAACGGCAAAGAGAGGGCGGTGCAAGTGTAGACATGGCCCGAGTTTCTGTTGATGCACACCAAAAATGCACGGAACCCTAGCCATAAACAGCTTTGCTGTAAAATAAAAGTTTTCGCTTTGCTAGTTCCCACCTGGTGCATAGTCTGCACACGTGCATAATATGCCCCTGATGCTTAGTCGACACGAAAATCTTCTCATACATGGCACTACTTGACAAATGTCTGCTTTCTCAGCTCACAAAGAAGCTTGTATCATTTTTCTTAGCTCACAAAGAAGCTTGTAAAATTTAAAACTTTTAGACATGTAGAGTCCGCAGACTATAGCCCAGAAAGTATTGTAATTTGTTTTAACTGGGATATTAAACACACACATGATAATTAAGCCTTACACCAAGCTTGACGATTTCTTTTTTTTCGTTTCTGTTCGAATGGTACATTGTCGTTGGTAGCTGACGAAGACATCGCGGCTTGTCCCGGCTTTTGCTCCTCTTGGGCAGTGCTTTCTCTGCCCCCGACGGGTGGCGTAATCTGTATGTCTTGCGCCTGCAGGCATGAGCCGCCACCACACGGCCCTGTTCCTGCGCAACTGCCGGCTCATCTTGCTGCTGCGGAGGGAACCGATCCAGGAGGAGGCCAACAAGTTCACCCCGGCCGAATGGCGCTGGAAGACGCCCGAAGTCTGCGACGACCGCTGGCACCACTACGCCGTCTCCGTCAACTTCCCCGAGGCACGTTTCCCCCTCTCCTCTTCCTTCGTCTCTCTCTCACTCGTGCCGTTGAAACAAGCATGCACTACTATGCCGCTACGTCGCAAAAGGTGGGGCACGCCTTCCAAAATCGTTGCAAGGGCTGGACGAAACGTCAGAATTTTACGAAGCCCCGACAAAATAATTATCATTACGGAGTTCGCCGACAAAATTAAGCTGACGTGGTGAAACGCGAAATGTGCGGGGGAAAGATCCCGGGTGTATGAAGTGTAAGTAGTATGTGCCACTGCCTCTCTTGGTACAAGGTAGTGACCCGCAAGCTTAAATGTGACCGTGCAACGGGGAAGTTGTTTCCGAGACGGCATGGCGACATCAAGTTTGTGGGATGCTTTACTTTTTACGGGGCCACTTTTAGCAGAAATGGATGCATGCTCTACTAGAGTCTCGAGCACGCGTTCATTTGCTGTTTCCCGTCTTCCCAATGTTCTCCTCGGTGTTCCTCTTGTGTTTTGTCTGAAATCAAAGTCGGACCGTGCCTGGGCCGGTACGGCAGTCTGAGCTAGAGTACGGACTGAAGCGTCAGCCGGGTCCTGTCTGGGGTCTCAGGAGGGCGCTTCCCACGCAGGCGTCCCTGTACGTGGACGGGCGTCCCTTCAAGGTGACGGCCAACAACCCGGAGATTGTGGACGACTGGCCCCTGCACCAGACTAAAAACATCAACACCACCTTCGTGGTCGGCGCCTGCTGGCAAGGTACGAACGGCGCCTTCCCAGAGGCACTCGATGAGCGTCGTCTGCTCCTTGGTTCGGGGGCTCTGAGAACGTTGTGTTTGGAACTCCTAGCTGCTTCGAAGGACACCCGAGGAATAATTCTACCTTCTTAGCATTTTTGTACTAAGGGAGTTCAGAAGCCCATATAACGGACAATGCAAAGGAGCTTTGGACTTTCGCATCGATGCATCAATACGGGGATCAAATATTCTAGAACGCTTGTGTTTAAACAAGTAAAGCACTTTACTTAAACAAAAGTGATCCCCGTGTTCCTAAAAAAAATTGTATTGTAAAAAAATAAATAATAATATGCTGCATGGGACAACAGCATACCTTGCCTTGTGGCAACTCACCAACTTGTATGTGGTATGCTAGTTGAAAATAAATGTTTTGTGAACTATGTTAGCAACTTTTGAATGCATGAGTGTCACCAAACAGCCATGAAAGAACATGTTTAAAGGGGTGGGGATGCTCGAGCGAATTCAAGCATTTCAGGAGCCCCCGAGAGTATTTCAGAGAACGCCTGGGTTCCGAGGAACCAATTTCGAAACCCCCGCCTTCGCCGATATGGCGTGACAAGTGAGCTTTGATGGCGCCTCCATTTAAATATTTTACATAATTGTCCTTCAGTTCTATGTACCGTGGTTGGACCCTATACAATGAGGCAGGATCAAACCTAAAGGGACATTGACACTCATTTTGAAAAACAGCGCGAGTTTAAGATCCGAGCAAGGACATTGACACCCCCAAAATTTATTTTTTATCTTTTGTCAGGTGATTTATTATGGTGTCAGAAGACTACCCAATCAATATTTTGCTACAGCATCACATATATTTTTAATGAAGTAAAAAAACACAACCGCTCGAAACCGAAACCGGACTGGGGAGGAAGAAGAAATATAGAGAAGGAGAAAGTTACGGAAGTCATGTGGCTGGGGAACTTTTTTTTTTAGTCACCGTATTTGCAGTTCTTTAGAAGCCACAAAAAATGGGTATTACTATATTTCTTGTCTATTTTTAGTATTGGAACGTGTGCCTCCGATGACCCATGTCTTTGATTATCTTTGGTGGCTGTGTCTAAACCATAGAAAACGGCACATGACCACAGAAAAGAGAGTGAGCGCAACTCAAACCGGCCAGTTCTCGATCGGCTGTTTTCGGGTGGAATGATAACAAATTTCAAGTCGCAAATTGCGTTCTGGGTAGTTGGGCTCTCGTATGCCATGTACAAATAAAAACCTTGGCCAGCGTCCCTTTAAGTGCCCAGAACGGGGCGGGCACTGAGCCACTGAGCACAGCTTTTACAGGTGCTCTGACAGAAAGTAGACTTTCCCTTCCTTTCACGAGGACGTCCTCTCGCTATGCGATTGCACGCGATTTGATGCTAGACCCGCGAAACCCTTTCCGACGCGCGCTGCCCTCCCGCAGGCAAGGACAACAAGATGGCGTTCCACTTCCGGGGCTACTTGACGGGGCTGTCGGTGCTGCGAGGCCGCACCGAGTCGCCCGACGTGCTCTCCTGCCTGCACCGGTGCAAGGAGTGGCTGGACGTGCCTCCCGCAGATGCCCAGGCCACCGGCACCGTGAGCTTGCTGTCCTCTTGTGCTGCCGACCAGCTCGGAATCCGAGCATTTTTGTTGCCTTCCGATTCGATGTACTCTTGCTTGAGTTTTCGGTCCGGCACCAGCGAGTATGGCTTCCAAAATCTTCCGTACAAACTTGCTATTCTTCGTGTAAAAACAAAACTTTTGAAAGCTTTCCATCTCAGTGTTTGCTATCGCCGACCGATCGGCAAGTGGAGTAACTCGTGCTGGTCACGTACAACGAGGCTTTTGCGCTACTGCTACGTAAATTTTCCGTTGGGACGTGCATTTTTTCATTCTATATAAGCAGGGTTTCGTGTTTTCGGATCAATTTGAGAAACTCGGAAAAACGCGCACCGGTCTAATTTTCTTTCATTCGGATTTATCTGATACACTCCAAATTTTAAGGTCACAATGTCAAAAAAGAAATGGTCGTATACAAATACGTATAGTTCAGAGTCGATCTGTGATCGTGAGTGGAGGCCACTCCAGTTTCCTTTCAAATCTTTTGACTACTGACAAAAGCGGGCTATACTGTTCATCTCCTCAGATGTTTGATTCTGAACAGTGAATCATTGTACTTATGGGGCACAACAAAAGCCACTGTTTCAGTTTCCAGTTTGGACTTTATTACTTGTGCTTCTTAGGGGGAGGAGGGGTTCTGTTTCATAAGACTGAAAGGTATTGAACTCATACATTTCATTAGACGGCTCAAATCCCTTCAGCACTTCATTCCGTGCAACAAGTAGAGTTGTGGAACAGGATGGGGGAGAAACGAGGTTCCCAGCAACTATGTCCAGGGTTTACTGATCGGCATCTATTAAAGCCACACTTATTTTTTACAAGTTTTATCGTGGGACAGTAATACCCAATGGCAAGGGGACCAACATTGAACCCAACTGGAAAAATATCTATTGATACGAGTGAGTTATTATGAACTTAGTGCTCTTTTATTTTCGGATATTTTAACGCAGATTGTGTTTTAGCAGCCACACGCCATCTCACGGCGGGAGTTAGAAATGAAAGGGAATCTTCAGTGGACAATGCCTATCAGACGCTCTTCTCTTCTTTCCTGGAAAGCCTATTACACGTTCTGTGCTTATCAGTTTTTGTCAGCATGATCAAGCTTGTGTATTTCTTTTTTTCTCTTGAGTATCAAACAATCGGGAAAACTGCAAAATTAAACACAGAGTTTCCGAAAATTGAGAATCGAGCAAAAATTAACTCTGAAAAACTTTGAATGTTGGACAGAAGATAGACCTAGAAGAACTACCTCCGAATTTTACAAAAAGTAAACTCCGAAAACCTGAAATCCACAGTTTTAGTCATTTTTGAATGTTTTTCTTTTTCAGTTATCCGTTTTAATTTGGTACATACACCTCTGTTTGCTCTTTTTTTTCTCAAACATTGCAAATAACAGACAGTGTTGTCCCACTGTGCACTGTTGTGTTATTCAGTACATAAATTAAATAAATATATGAATCGATGGCAACTAAACAGATCGAGCAATCGGTCAAACTTGCGTTGCCAATAGTCAGATCCAGTGTAGGGCATTCCAAGCTGGATGCATTTTTTTCGGTCAAAATGAGTGGTGCATGGTGTGAAGCCCACTCTCTGTGCCGCTGGGCATTGCAGGAGGTGGCTTCCAACGCTGAGCGGAGCGAGGTGACGGTGATGGCGCGGGACCAGGACACCCTGGAAGACTTGGTGTCGCGGGTGGCTTACGTCAACTCTCGAGACTTCCCCACGCCAGGACGCCGAACCGTCCACATTGCCACGACCGTCATGTAAGCTCCACGACCTCCTGGCTGCCACTTTTGAAACTCCTGCTTGGTAAAACTCGCTTGCGCTACTAGCCGGATTCTTAACCCCTTAACTGGGGACTTTTTTGACCAAAAATATATGTAAAATGGGGAATTTTTTTTTTTTTTTTAAGAGTTTTTAGTTTTTGAGGGTGTAACAATAGACTTCAAACCTAAAACAAAGTTATTTATATCAAGTTGGATGTGCACCGGCACTTCCTACCATCCGAAATGGATCTTTCACTGTTCTGGCGTCTTGCCAGGTTGCAGCAGACCCCGAAGTTGATGGTGTTTTCCTAAAGAATTCTTTTGCTGTGTCATCTTCAGTTTTCGTGTGGGATCCCGGGAAGCATTCCATCGAACTCGAGAAATCAACATCGCAGTCGCTGTCCTTGCAAGTATTTTGCAGCAGCTCAGCGATTTCTTCATCAGTCAAGGGATGCACTGGCGTTGTCTGGACGCATTTTCCAAACAAACAGTCAAAGGTGTCAACAGGAGTCTTCAACATTTTTTTGGTGCTGCCATGTGTGCATTGTTTTTAAAATTAAAAATGTTTCCGATACACGAGGATAGATTGTGCATCCTACCCACATGCTAAATATAGCGAGCGTTTAAAGACGCGCTTCCCAACAGCAAAGAAAGCGCAGCGCGTCTATAGACGCGCCCCCCAATCTGTGGTCAAAATTGACGCGCGGCTAAAGACGCGCTCCCCAGTTAAGGGGTTAAGGCACACACTTCCGCTTGCTTACGTCCTAGTTCTTGTGATCTCTTACAAGTGCCGTCCATGAGATGGCCCTGGAGCTGCACTTCACTACAGCGAAGGTTTTGCAGTATTTGCAAGATCAAATTAACCCAGGTACCATGCATATGCATAAACGCCCAACTTGGGCAAAAGTGTGGCAAACGTAAGGGCCTAACTTGGGCTTAGTTAGGTTTTGCTTCATGGCGCTTGTCAGTACCATAGTATGTTGCCTAACTATAGCCCTAGTTGGGTGGATCCTAGGGCATGCCAAAGTTTGGCTTTCCTCTGGTCCACCGCAGGAGTGTCAAAGTAAGTGCCACGCTTGAGCCATAACTGACAAAGTAACGCCTAGTTTGGGGATTTCGGACATGCCGAAGTTTGGCTTTTCCCTGATATGCCACAAGAGTGCCAAAGTGTGTGCCAGACTTGAGCCATAACTGCCAAGTAAATCCTAACTTGGGGATTCAGGGCATGCCAAAGTTCGGCTTTTTATAACTAACCATGAAAGGGCCAAAAAAAAATTAGGGTGTGTGTGTGTGTTTATATTTAGCCTAAAACTTGGTCTGCCTCAACGGGCGACTTGTCTCCCAGCTGTAGATGAGGAATTTAGCTCGTGCAGTACAACCACTAGCCTGGGGTCTTTAACGTGCGCCACGCAGTAGTGAGACACAACCGCACGTCAGTACGATGCTCATCCAGATCGAAACGTGCAGGGGTGGGGATTGAGCCCAGGATCCCTGGGTTCTGCTGCGCAAGCTTTCGCTCCATGTGCTCCGAGCTGGTGTGCGCTAGCCCACTCGCCCACCGATCCGAAATCTCTGCAAAAACAAATTGTGCTGAAGAAAGCCCAGAGGCTTGCCGAAGTTTGGCATTTCTCTGGCGTGCCGCAAAAGTGCTCTATCACACGATCCAGAACAAAATTAAATTAGTGTTAGTCTGATGTCATCATCTCCGTTCCCAAGCAGCACGGAGATACTCAGCAGTGTCGTGCCAGTATCGGCCGAAAATCGGTTCCAGTGTCGCCCAAATGTCTAGTTTTGCACCACCGCTTGATATTCGGCAGGTATTGGCTTAACGTCGTTTTGCATCACCCTAGTGTTGGCGCAATATCTTGCGAATACTCTACAACGTACGTCAAAGAGTCGACGTCCGCGTCTATACCCTGCCATTCCAAAGCGGCCGAAATGTGGGATACCTTTCCCTAGATGATTGTATTAACCGTATGCCCCTCCCCCACAGGTGCAGCAATGGCAAGGCCCAGAAGGTCCCGACGGAGGAGTCGTGGGTGACGATCTTGGCGGCGGAGCAACCCAGCATCACCATCAATGGCACGCCCAACCTGGCCCGGGAGTACGAGCCCTTCAAGCAGGGCATCGAGCTCTTTGCCTCCGTCTTCATCGCCGTGGGTAGGGAGCGCCAGGCCCCCTCCCCCTCCTCTTCCTCCCAGGTAGGTCCCCCAGGCCTTTGATACTGCTTCCATCTCAAGGCCCAGTCACACACTCGCGGTCGCTTACGACCGAGCTCTCGCAATCTCTTGGACGAGAAAATGCACTGGCACGCCGAAGCCATCTTTGAGGAACTGCACTTCACTAGAGAGAAGGTTTTGCGGCATTTGCGAGGCGAAACGGACATACTATGTAACGAGGAACGGTAGTTCATAGCACCGTCAAAAGTTTTTTGAGCCAAGAAATAAAGAGTGATGAGCGAAAAAAAGCAGGAAATATAGGAAAACTGCGAGTGGACCCGATATATGGTGCCAGTGTGTTCTCTCGTTGTAAGAGAGAATAACTCGGTTGTATGCAGTTGCAAGAACCAGCCTTCAAGTAGGAGTGGAATCCGCGGTAGAATCAATTCAAATAGTAACCATAAAAAAACGAGACCGCGAGGCAAAAAAAATTATTTCCAGCCGTATTTTGGTTTTTTGGTCGAACTGTGATACGCAGAATCCCTTCGTACGAGAAATAGTGCGTCTTCGCTGCGACTTTTATTGGCACAGATTCTGTTTCGTTTCCTCCGTAGAAATGAAATTCCCAGGCAACCTCGAGCGGCCCTCTTCAATGCGCTAAAAACTGCCGATTTGTTTGAGTCGCCGGAAATTGGCAACGCTCGAAAGGATCGCGCGTGTCATGTCGCATCCCGTCGGCCGTACGCCGGCTTCCCGTACCCAACGACGCACCGCCGCTGCAAGGGGGTTCCGGTTTGCAGGAGGAGGAGGAGGACGAGGAGGACAACCAGGTGTCGCCCTCTGTGGCCAAGCAGCGCCAGGGGCGGCTGGACTCTTGCAGCGTGCAGGTGTACCCTCCCCTGAACCCGGACCACGAGCGGTTCCAGCTGCCCTCCTACATGATGGCCCACCTTGGCATCCACCATCGGGAAAGCAAGGACGGGCTCGTCATCTACGGCAAGCTCTCTTTCCTCCCCCTCGCCCGACTTCCGCCCGGTGACATCTGCGATATGCGATTGGTCATGGCATAAAACACTGTCTGTGACAATACCAGATGCTTCGATATTCGCTTCGAGATAAACTGTGGTATTCATATTTCTCGAAGTGTTCATCGCGACGGGTTAGCCTTGGTAAGTGCCCTTCTTAATGAGCATTGGTGCAATGCGAAGGAGCGACACCCGCAACGCTTGCCTTCATGAGTGTTGGTTCTCTGCAATACGCCGGTACTCGGTGCATTGCGGAAAATGTTACTCTCCAGTGACATTTTCAAAATTAAACTGCAAGAATATCTGTTATGCGGAGATATGCCTCTACAACCTGCATTAATAAGTCATGATTGTTCTTTTTTAAAAATTTAAGGTGGAAGTAAGGATATTTGTATGTATATCGCGAGAAGATTCATAAATCCTCTTGATTAAGTATAAATAGGCGTCTCCATATGTTTAATTGTATGTCAAATGCATCGTTTATTTGCCATCTCAATGTAGGCATTGACCTTTCTGAAACCACAATCTGTAAATATACCGTAAAATACCGGACAAACGCCCACTCAAACTTAGGAGATAATCGCAAAAAAATGGGGGATGGGCGCTTGTCCGGTCATCAATTTTACATATAAATGTACTGTGTGTATTTTCTCAGATCTCACAAATTTGGTAATGGGTGCTTAATGTGGAATGGGCGGATGCACGGTATTCTACGGTAGTAAGATTGAAATTGACTTTGCATAGAAATGGCCAAGTGGAAGCTTGGCAACAACCTTCAGGAGTTCAGCCGCTTTTTCGTTTAAGCGTAGTGCAGCAATAAAAGGCTCAAAGAAACAACTTGATATTTTATTAAAAAATATTTTGCCGAAACCACCATTTGCTTTGACTTTGCTTCAAACTCAAAATCCACCATTCGCACATGCATATATTCACATCGTCATACTGACTGAGTTAGGAGCGATTCTACAACATGCTTCTATTTCTATTATTATGCTTCTATCGCTTTGCCTCTATTTTTTCTATTTTAGATATCTATTATATTATGCTTATATTATTTTGCTAAATTTGTTTTTCTTCTACGATTTTTTTTTATTAGCGCTATTCAGGCAGTTAAAGAAAACTGTTCTTATTGGGGAATTGAGTGTACTTTAGGTGATTGCTACAGAGTTTCTTCACTAATTCATTCTCTGACTTACTCGAGCGTACAGTTGAGTGGACGAACCAGTTCCTGCTGGGGACTGCGTGATTGAGACATCTTCTGTCGGTCGTTGTTTCTGACCCGCAGGAGCCGACAAAGTTCAGCACTACGAGAACGTGCTGCGTCAGATCCTGTACTTCAACAAGAAGCCCGCATACTACCTGAACCGTGCCTTCAAGCTCGTCTGCTCCGAACTCAACGGGCGCTTTGTCAGCAACGAGTACATTCAAACTGTAAGTGTTTCCTCCTTTTTCCCACTAATTTCTTTTCAAGTTGGCTTTGCGTCCACGCTGTACGGGTGACTCAGAGCACCCGCATAGAACTTGGAGCCCAGGCCAGGCTTGGAAAAAGGATAGTTGCTCTTTGTAAGACGTTGATGAAGGAAATATAAACCTATTAACCCATTGGGATTGAATAAAAACAAAAAGAACATGGTGCAGCAAAAGCAAAACAGAGGCTGTCAGTTTGGGAAGGACAGCATAAAGGTCTCCATTTCCTTACTTTGTGGACTGAAAGAAGTGTGGACTCGACATATATACTACCTTTCAGGAAATGATTGCCCTTGTTTTCTTCCTAGATCTTCAGTTTAGTTTTTTCTTTTTCCATTATGCTTTTGGAAAATGCACACTTTGGAGGTTGCGGGATTTGGAGCAAAGAAACAAATTCTGTCACATGCTGTAAGTGCCCAAGTGCGGAACAGAAGCGTGCGTGGGCACCGAACACCGGGGAGAAATGCTACTGACGATGCGCCTCAACCTTGCCTTTGAAGCGCCATTCTTTTTTCTTTTCAACTTGCGCTTTGCGAGACTCCTTTTTTGTTTCTTTGTAAATAGGCGTTTGCTTGTTTTCGTGGGCCATTTTCTGTTTCAGAGTTTGATATAGCCAACGGGTTGTTGGTTATAGAAGTACAATTTACATGCATATTCATTCGAAATATTTGGCCTTTCTATATACAGTTGCCGACTGATATTTTGGACTTCACATGGACCGAAAAAACGTCCGAATAATAGAGCAGTCTGAAAAATCAGCAGATTAAAAAACTTACTACCTTTATTACGTTTAAGTGGACTTAAAAGAGCCAACAATAGTGCCTTGCTTCAGGTTACACCTCCGCTTCTGTTCGGCCACTTTCTATTAGCTTCAGAATCGCTGCCTTTTTTTCTAGCGTTATGGTCGAGGACTTTCTGCGCTCCTTATCGAAACTTTGTGCCAGCGAAAGAACAGATGGGGCATTGACATCCTAGTTAGCATACCGCAAAATCCCGTAAGGACGCCCACCTTCGAGAAATCGCCCATCCTGTTTTTCTGGCTAAATATCTGTAATATAACAATTCCGAAACATCGCCCACCCCCCAATTCCCGTTGGACGTCAGGCGATGTCCGACGGGAATCGCGCATCAACGGCGCGATCTGCGGTCTTGGTACATCCAAGAAGCGAGTTCATAGAGGGTTCCCGCGCTTTTGTCTGCGATCTGCGCACGTGATATCGGCTCCCGTAATACGCGAGTGGTTTCCGTGTGTATATTGCATCGTGAAATGTGAATCTGGTGCGTTTGCAATTTGCGGTATTCGTGCACGAGTTCATAGTGGATTCCCGTGTTTTTGTCCGCAATCTGCGCGCGCAATATCGATTCTTAGCTGTTACACGTGCGAGTTGTTCCCGCGTGTGTATTGCATTGTGAAATGCGATTGTGTTGCATCCGCAATCTGTGGTGTTCGTTTCCGTGACATGCGAGTTTGTAGCATATTCCCGTGTTTTTGTCCGCGATATCGGTTTCTGTGACAGGCAAGATTGTAGCGGGTTCCCGCGTCTTTATTGCACCGTGAAACTTGAATCTGCGGCGTCCGCGATCTGCGGTACCCGTTCCCGTGAGACGCGAGTTCTCGGCGGGTTTCCGCAAGTCCTTCGCACCGTGAAAGGCGAATCTGCTGCGTCGGCCACTTGCGGTATCCTTTCCCCTGACACAGGAGTTTGTAGCAAATAGCGGCGTGTTTATCGCATCGTGAAACGCGAAGTTGCCATGTCCGCGGTCTGCGGTATCAGTTGCCGTGTCACGTGGTTTGCGCGGGTGCCCCGGTGCTTATCATTAATTTTTGATAAAGTTTTGTTGTGGCATCCCCAAAGATAGCCCACCCCATGTTTGTCACCATTTATCTCTTCATTGTGGGTGGGTGTTCTTACGGGATTTTACGGTAGTCGGAAAACGTGACTCACCGAGACGAGATGAGAGGTGCAAGTCCACGACTGCAGAATGACGAATGAACCAAGCAAAATGGTAACAATGATGATGATAATGACATGCAGCTAGGGAAAAAAAAAAGCCGTAGCATAGCGTCACCTAGTGGTAGGACTTAGCAGTACTCGAGGAGCGCTGCCAAACCAAGCCAATCCATGTGCAGCCAACATAGAATCTAAAGTGGTGGCTTCTCAGTGGTGTTTTCGGCTGATCGCTCGTAATTTTGTCCAAAAAATCTAACTTTCAGACTTCAAGCTGTCCGAAACATTGGTCGTGAATATGCGCTATGGTATTTTATCGGTTGGGTCGCGATTCTTCCTTTAGTTCCGAAATATCGAACAAGTCCGAATTATCGGCGTCTGAAAAATTGGTTGGTGACTGTAGACAGTCGTCTTAAACAGGCGCGACTGTATTGCGCTAAAAATCGGAACGTTGGAGGTGTATGTTGGCAGGCATGGCACGACGTCATGCCTGAGATCATGTAGTGGATATTGCTCTGTGCATGGAAGCAATCTTTGCCGAACAACGTAGCTCCCGTCTAAGAGTTATTTTATTTATCGTAGTGTTTTTAGCCTAATTATAATGGTGGAATGTGCGTGCCTGAAATTTAGCGGTTTTTTGGAATTCCTACTTCGGGTTTTTGATTTTTGATATGGCAACGCTGGTAAGCATCTAGATTTTTAATGATTGTATTATTAAAACCGACCATTAAAGGGACACTGACACCCCCCAAAGTTTTTTTTTCATTTTTTGCCAGGCGCTTCATTATGGTGTCGGAGGACTACCCAATTAATATTTTGCAACAGAGTAGCATATTTTTTTAATAAAGCCAAAAGGCGCAACTGCTTGAAACCGAAACCGAAACCCGACGGAGATCGGAGAAGTGGAGAGAAGAAAATGAGTGGCGGAAGTCACGTGGCTACACCCGACCGTGCGGTTTTTCTTGTTTTTCTTTTCTCCTCTCCGTAGCAGACGACACGACATGCGGCGTACGGGAACTGTTCGCCGTGGCGTGCGCTTCTTTTGCAGTTATGTTTGTTCCGCTCGTTGTTCTGTACTCCAAGATGAGTTGTTTTGTACATTGAGGAGTTGGAGATGAGTAGTGAGTGCCCGTAGGGAATTTCCATGATCGGCTCCGAAAAGAATACACCCAAGATGTTGCGTGAAGAGCTGGCTCACATGTCCTGCGTCCGGAAAAAAAGGGCATTGTGCGACAGAGTTTCCGAAAGATCAACGGGATCGGGACCATTGGCTGGCTGCAATTAATGTAGAACATATACGGGGACCTCGGAAAGCGGACGCTACCTGTTTTATATGCTCCTTGCATTTTGTGGAAAGTGATTACATTGAGTTCGCAGGTGTCAAAGAGGAAATCCCATACCATTTAATTCAGCGAAGTGTCGTCCACAACATTTTTTTGCTATTTTTTGTTTGTTTCTTTAGTGATAATTGTAAAAAAAAAAAAGAAAAGATGTGTAAACATAAAAAAATGTTTAAAAAAAAAAAAAAAGGTTTCACGGGGGATTGAACCCAGTCCTACAGCGTGCGAAGCGGACGTCGTTCCCACTGAGCTACTGGAGCATTTCCTTAATGGCGGATCTCTTTCCTTACTAATAATTCAGCCGGTAAACTGTAAGTTGGAAAGTTTGCTGCCGATTTTCCTCTAGCAAAAGCACTCCCGGGTCTAAGTAGGGAAGCACCACGCATTGGCAACATTCTCACCTAGTAAAGAAATCGTACGCGTGCATATTCAACTCGAAGTAGACACGTCGTGCTTGACGTTTGCGTGAGCGATGTCTTCAGCCACGAGAAGGGAGCGACGTCTCGGCGACGTCTTCGTGCAAATCGGCTCGGTGGTCGGGCGTGTCGTACGGGATGAATACCAATTCTTTTGATCAGTCCCAAATTTCTCTTTCAAAAGTAGACAGAATTCACCGGTACCGCGAACGACAGTTCTGAAATAGAGGTCCCATGCCCGTCGTCCGCTGCCATCGCCGTTCCCGCGAGTCCCACGATACGCGAAACGACGAACGCACAGAATGCTTCCGGTTGTCTGTGGAACTTTTTTTTTCAATCAACGTATTTGCAGCTTTTTAGAAGCCACAAAAAATGGGTTTCATATTTTTTTCTATTTTTAATATTGAGTGTGTGTTTTCAGTGACCCACGACTTTGATTAAATTTGGTGGTCGCATCGATACCTTAGAAAACGGCCCGTGACCGTGGAAAAGAGAGTGAGCGAGACTCGAACCGGCCAGTTCTTAATCGGCAGTTTTCGGGCGGAAAGAAACCGAATTTCGAGCCGCAAATTCTGTTCTGGGTAGTAGAGCTCTCATATGTCACGTACAACTAAAAACCTCGGCTAGCATAAATACCCTGTCAGTGTCCCTTTAAGAGACGACCCATCCAAAATTCCCTCTCACTGTCCGAAGGAGCCAATTTTTCCGGCTCATTTTACGGGGCGGGAATGCCAATGCCGATTCCTCACTTTGGTGGATGATTTGTTTTGGCTCGGTGGTTAAAAGAGTTCTCCATCTCGGTCCTCCGTGCCAATAATGTGGGTTTCGTATAGGACGCATGCTTGGTGGTGAGCGGGCGTCACGAAAAGCAGCTGTGCGGGGACCGCAATGCTCTTCCGGCAATTCATACTGCTTGTAACGATCACTCCATCTCGAATGAGTCGGAAAAACACAGTTTAAATACAGAAAGGGGATACACACAGACACAACGCGGGACAAGCTCCATGACCGAAGGACGCCGGGCCATGCTCCAGTTCATGTCGTCTTCACTCGTCCATTGCTTCAAAATTTCTGTTTTTATCGCTTCCACTAAAAACAAAAATTTTAGTTTTCCCTTCTGCTATCAGTATGGCAGCTGGAACGCATTTTCAACTGGTGTGAGCATGCAGCGTCTCTAAAGGGAACAGCGGCAGGACATCTGGCAGCTCATTGGAGGACATGCCAGTGCAGTGTAGCTTTGAACAGTACCACCATTCTTGCACGAAACAACAATCCTCATGCACGCGAAATGCTCGAGGCCTTCGCCATCGAGGAGCACGCCAAGGATTGTGTCAGCACACCATCAATCACCGTACACAAAAAAGAAAGACAATACCTACGGAATGTCACGCCCCAAATAACAACAGCACGAGCATGTGGCGGGTTAGTTCAAAAACAATAATTTGCTAGGAGTACTGTGTAAATGATTTGTATATATTTTTTGTATAAGTGTAAATAGCGGAAGGGATCTTTAATATTGGAATAGGGCAATTTATATAATAGGTTTATCGCGCTCCACTTGGGACTCATAAGGAAGGAGCAAAAGCGCAAGGAAGAAGTTTACTAAAATATTGTTGGTAGTCAGCTGTGTGTCATATCCTGTCCTTTCTGTCTTTGTGTGTTTAGTGTCCCATTAAATCCATGCGTTGAAACTGGTTAGCGAACGGTAACACCACAAAGGGGAGTGCTATGCCGTTGGATGTCACGATTTTGGTGGTTGGTCGTTGAAGGAAGAAATGCGGCACTAATTGAGGGACCACTTTTTTAGACAAACGCACCAGTGGGAAACATGTTTTAGGAATCATACTGTCGGTCCCCGGAGAGATTCAGCTCAATAAATGTTTCCCTCGCTCCCGTTTGCAAAGTGACTCGAAAGGTGCTCTTGCATGATGCAGCTGACAGTGATCCACCCGCGGCCCGAGTCACCCAACCACCGCGAGACGTCCGCTCCGGCCGCAGCGGGGGCGGTGCACACGACGCCGTCGCCTCCGCTCCCGGCCGGCGCTCCCGCGGCGGCGGCACACGCCCAGGTGTCTTCGCACAGCGTGGAGCCCAAGGGCGCCAAGGTGCATGCGGGCAAGTACGTGGAGCTGCTGGACGGAGGAGCGTCGGAGGCCCTCGCCAAGAGCTCGGCCAGTGAGTGGACCTGTCCTGTCTCTGAGATTCGTTTCCTTGTCTAACGGAAGGGAACTACAGATTGTCGCCGTATCGTAGCTCTCTAGTCCGTACGTTTGCCCGCCCTGTTTCCTTCCGTTTCCAGCATCGTCGTTAGCCGACTGACAGAAATCGGAAAAGGACGACCGTCGTTGGACGCGTCAGCATTCTCTCGACAAAACAACATTTGGGTGTTGCAACCAATCGCCAGCTTTCTTCGGTGTGCCTAACAAAAGATGCCGGGAATGCGAGGAGCATCTGCCACTAGTCGAGTTTTGTGCGTTACCGCGAGGGCTGCCAGTGCAGCGACCGGGCAGCCTTTGCGGGTACGCAGCTGAGAGAGAAAGGGCGGAGAACTCGCTCTTGCCTCGTCACTTTCGACAGCGTCGCAGTTCTGGCTCGGATAGTGACGCCACAGATGGCTAGCAATAGAACGGAGAGCGTGAAAAAGAAGAGAAAGTGAAATGGAAACCAGTCTGGACAGTGGCGGTCTTTATTCGGAGTTGGGACTAGTAGTCCACGCTAGAGCAGTTGGCTCGTTAGCGGCTGGAATGACCCCTGCCCCCGACTGGGACAAAAGGGTGCGTGCGTGGGTTTAGGCAACCCTCGCATGCCCCCTGTCGGACTTTTGAGCGAAGCCACTTGCCACGCTTATGCGATACACCAACACCAAAAACAAAGCTAACGACGTACAGGAAATGGCAGAAAGGGTGGACCAGTGTGCTTCCTAACCACGTATTGGAAGTGAGGCCAGTTTTCGTGAACTTGCCTTTAATGTGCCAGGAATACAAACGCGAAAGAGGAGACACAAAAGAAAGCGACTTGTGGAGTCTTTCCTCCATGCTATTTCTTGGCTGTTTCTTTCACTTTGTTTTCTTGGGAAAGATGCAAATCTGTAGTGAACAACGTTGAATTATATACAATCTATTAAATTGTATTGGAATGATTGTATTGATGTTATATTCTTGCGCATTTTCATGTGCTGTACAATTAGGCTTCTGTGTTTTCTGAGTTTAGTTCTCCTGAAATTTGAAGGGTTGTTTTTCCGAGTTTATTTTTCGCTGAAAATTTTGTGTTTTTAGGTGTTTATATTTGCTAGATTGACAAATTTTTTTTTTTAAATCCTGAGTTTGTTTTACTTTTCTTAAATTTAAAAATAAATAAATAATTAAAGTCTGGGTGCCATGACTCATTGCCCTGAAGGAACCTCGACATGCTAAAAGGCAAACCTTTTTTGTCAGTAGTTCTAAATTTAAAAGAAAAACTTCAGCAGCATCTCCTCAGGACTATTGACCCAGTGCTCTTATGACGTTTGTTTGTAAAACACGGTGCTTTTTGCTTTTTATTTTGTCGTGACCTCAAAATTTTGAGTTTCTTGGATAAGTCCAAATTAGAAAATTTACTGGCAAATGTTTTTCAGGTTTTTTCGGATTTATCCGAAAACACAAAACTTTATGTATTATCTACACTCCCATCTTGGTCGTAGGACCGGCAGTGTTTTAAATGCATAAATAATAAATGTATAATAGCATGCCTTTTGGGAGCATATTCTGGTGAACTGGCTCTTGTCTACTGACGTTTCGAGAACCCCTTCTGGCTCAACAAAAGTGATGGGGGCCACCATCCATCCATCGGGAGGGAGGGTATTGGACAATTACGATGACGAAAGGGCGAACAAAGGAAACTAAATGCGTGCAAACTAACTTTGCAGCCCTGAGACAGAGGATAATAATTCGCCCTACTCACTCCATACGCATAGTCTTCTTTTCTAGAAGTATTCAGCTTTGTAAAGCAACCAGCATCAATAAAAAAAAAATGTTTTACACCAAGGTGGCCTTCAGGACCGCAAAGAGTCTGCGGATCGCCGTTTGAGAACCATTGCAGTGTTTCAGACGAAGAAACATTTCCTTTTGGAAAGGGGTGGGGTGGGGTGTATAGCAGCCCTGGAACGGGAGCAGCTTGTGCAAGGTACACGTCTCCGTGGAGCCTCGATTCGAGAGCGGTCTTCTCCTTCCCAGGCCATGCGGTGACCATCATCATAGTGGTGTGCGTGGGCTTCCTGGTGTTCATGATAGTGCTGGGCGTGATCCGCATCCGGGCGGCCCACCAGCACCAGCAGCAGCGGCAGGGCGGGGGGCGCCACCGCACGGGCGACGCCGACGACCAGGAGATGGCCTGGGACGACTCCTCGCTCACCATCACCGTCAACCCCATGGACGTGAGTGCCTTCCTCCAGTCCGTCTCGCCTTGGGAGCTGCTTTGCACGCTGGCATCCGATTAGAACCACACGAGAAAACTCTCCCAAAAATTGGAATGTTTCTTCTCAACCTAAAAAAAAGACAACTTTTGTTGCCGGGTTTGGCTGATGAGGCAGGGCTTTGCAGACCCCTAGAATGCCTTTGCGGACCCCATAAGGTTCACAAAGTACCTTCATTTGACAACCACTGCTTTAGTCTAAATGCTGTTCTTTACTGGAATTTTATAGGAATTATATTTGCAGGCTAAATAAACTGCCGAATATAAAAGGGTGGAGGAGAAGTGAGCGTTATCTCAACATAAGTGTTAAGCTATGCTTCCAGTTTAAACAATTTTTTTTTATAGCCATTGTAAATGAAACCTACTCTGACCTGAGCTTACTCTAACCTAAGCCTTATTTTTTTAAAAAGGCTTTGTGTTCTTTTTGTATCCTATCTATACTCATTACAGATGATAATAATTCATTCATTTAGCAATTGATGCTATTATTTTCATTTTCCCTCAAGTGATGTGCTACAGTCTAAGCTCGTTATAACAGACCTTGATTTTGACCAAAATTTCGGTCTGTTGTAAAAGGAGGATGTTGTATGCAGATATGAAGTTGAGTCAATGGTATGTAGAGGAAAACCAACCAAAATTCACAAATTGGTATGTTATATCCAAATGTCTGTCATAACAAGGTCTGTTTTAGTGAGCTTAGACTGTAACAGATGTTGGCATCTGCTTCGAAAGCATCAGTGGGTGCTCCAAACCAATATATTGCCTGCTACGAAACCTGCTCCAAAAGGTCAAATGCCACTTCCATCATTGGAAAATCCCGCTGAACTTGTGAAGGTTGTTCACAAGCTTCCACTTGTTTACTTCTAATCGAAGTTAATTTTAATTTAACTACATTTATCGACCGTGGCCTCAGAAAGTCCATTGCCTTCATTGGGATGGCAAGTAAACAATGCGTATGAAATAAAATTAAACCTATACAGATGCCACTATATATCTAATCGAGGAGATTTATAAAATTCTTGCTATACGCAAATATATTTGATAAAATCACGAATGATTAACTCTTTCCTGACCGCACCCATAGGCCATCGATCACCGGTGATCGATGGTTTCCAAGCGCCATCAAGAAATTAAGTTTAGTGCAGAGAATTATGTTCCATCTTGTGGATAGCCGAAGAACTGTAGTTTCGGTTGCAACATAGGTTTAAGCTTTATCACAAGCTGGTGGGCTGTCAAAAATAGTCGTCGGAACAGTGGTTGCACTTGTCTAACATGGCTAACTGTTTGCATCAGTCTTTCGTAACAAAGATGGCATTATTTACATTACTTAACTGTACTGTGGCATGTTTTTTAGACCACGAGAACTCTGGGGACAGTTCCACTTGTGGTATAGGCATTGCTTAAAGGGGCACTGACACGCCAAAGGTCGTATTATTTTTTATTGTCTAAAACGATGCAGGTTGTAGTCATAGACACGCAAAAAAAAACGCATCGCGAAAAAAAATTTCCTTGCGCGCGTGCGCGCTTTTTTATTTTTGGCGTTTATATTTCCCGCGCTAACCTCCTTGCTTCTTTTGATCGGTGACGTCAAAAATCAGGAAATTTAGAAGCTTTGTAGGCGACATTTCTATAACATTTAATAACGGCAATCGTAAAACATGTTTTTTAACGCAATGACAAACGCACTACGGCCTTTCTTTTTGAAATACCAAAAATCAGATTTCGGTGTGATGTTGCTTCCTAAATTTGTGTTCTCCCGGCAATAAGCCTCTGCTCGGCGGCGCTCGAGCAGAGGCTTATCGCCGAGTCGGGGAAGAAACCGGTTTTTCCCCGCGCCGGCTCCCTTCTATCCCGCCTGCTCACCTCCTCCTCTCTTCGGGTCGCGGTAGCAACGGCGCTTTGCTTCACAGCGTGGTGCGGAGGTCCGAAAGAAAGTCGAGTCGCAGGAGACCGCAAAATTTGACTCACTGCGCTGGCGCAGATCGTGCGGGAACTTCAAATTCGGCATTTGGAAATTGTTTTTTTTAATTCACAAATACTGAATTCCCAAGTTTCGAATTTTGAGGGTAATGTCCCGGCATCATTTTCAATCGTTTCGGATAATAAAATAAATTACGATTTTGATGTGTCAGTGCCCCTTTAACAGATGGTTGTTGCTAAGCATCACTATAATTTCCAAGGCTGTCCTGAGCCGGCGTGCACGTTTTATGTTCCCAACAAGGCGCACAAAAAGTTTAAATATGAATGAACTGCAATCGAGGCTATGACAAAGCCAAGGTAGAACAAAAGGAAAGCATTCTGCTGAGGATGTGAGCTGTACTGTCTGTGTTTCACCAATATAAGCATTCCTTCGTTTAAAAGCACAGGAGTTACGGAGGCTAACTCTCTGACGAACCGAAAATAGACATCAGTTAGAGTACACTAACTTTCAGAAGTAATAACCGTGGGTGTGGGCCACATTTTTTATATTCAGAATTTTTCTTATTTGTTGTTTAATTAGACATAACTGTAGAAGTTTCGGCGTTTATACACCTTCCGCACATACACTGTATTTTCAAGAAATAAAATTTGAAATACCGTATAATGGCGTGTAAGGGCCGCACCCCCGTATTTAAAACAAAGTATTGAAAAAAAAAAATTTTTTTCAGAAATTATTTGCGTATGCGTTGCACCCCCTTGTCTGTAATGCCATGCTTCTATGAATATATTTCGCTAGGTGGCGCTAGCCACCGCCTGAGCACGTAGCGGCACGCATCCATATCCCCGATATTTGCTCTCCACTCATCCGTATCACCGCATGGCAAAATGCACAAAATGTCTGTCGACCTCGGTCGTGGTCGGCCGCACTGTCGGGGTGCATTTATGTTGCGGCAAGGCATTGAGAAAAGATAAAGGGTATGTCAGTGTCAGGTTCCGTGGCAAGCGCGTGGAATGTCGATTCAGCGGGCTCGGCTCGCGCGTGCACTCAGGTTTCCGAACGCCACTGTACGCTCTGAGGAGGTTTCCTTTTGTTCTTCGATTCGTGTCAAAGCTTTGTGATTTGTCAACCTTTTCGCCCAATCTGCGAGCTATGGGCAAGTACCACTTCAACAGCCATACAAGATTCAAGTCGAAAGTTGCCAAGCAATGCTATCAAGTACGGCAAAAAAAAGGCGTATTGCGCAGTATGTTAAGTTGTAAACTAATTAAATCCAACTGATGACTGAGTCCGGATTCTGGAGTGAAGGCGTTTCCGAGCAGTGCAGCCGAGCGCGCTCATGTATGTTCATTTCGGAATGTGGATACAGATATATTTTTTTTTATCCGTGTATGGGCCGCACCTCGAAAATTTGCCCTCAAATCGGGAAAAAATAGTGTGGCCTTTGCACGAGTTTTTACGGTATTTTTCCCCACATTACATAACCTCTGTTTCTTTTGAAAGAGCAACTAATTGGCCACATTTTGATGTGTCATGTTGCTCCATACTCAAGTTAGTTAGGAAAATAAAAGTGTTTGCAGTGACCCTTTGGAAATAGTTACTCTTCCCGTGGTCAGGAGAGAGTTAACTCAGGTTGTCAGGGCATCTCTGCCTGACACGTACTCGCACATAAAAGCCAGTTTAATTTTGAAAATGTTACTTCAATGAACATTTACATTTTGTGTCTTTTTAAATACTCCATGCGCGTGTGTGCACCTTTCCAAGTGTTGATCGCGGCAGGTTAGCCCCTTTGAGTGATTCTTGCCAAGCGCTGGTGCACTGTGGAGAAGCAACACACGCAGAAGCGAGCTCCTCCATGGGTGTTGCTTCCCCGCAGTGCAGTGGTGCTCGGTAAGAAGCACACTCAATGGGACTAACGTGCCACGATCAACACTTGGAAAAATATGAATATTGCAGTTCACCTCGAAGCAAATATCGAATAGCATATTATTCGAAACTATGATCAGAAAATTATTCGCACGAACCCTACTATTTGGGTTCTGCCTCCGACATTTGCTCCAACCCGCCTTCGTTCCCCGCAGCAAATCACCGAGGAGCGGGAAGGGCACCGCAGCAGCGGCGGCAACAACGGCCACGAGGGCAGTGCGGGTGGCGCAAGCACCACCTCCCGCCGGGGCGCGGCGGCGGCGGACGAGGAGGACTCTGACAGCTCGGACGACGGCAGCAGCTACCACGAGGAGAGCGAGGAGGAGGAGGTGCCGGACAAGGCCAAGGCCAAGGGCGACCTGGAGTGGGACGACTCCACCCTCACCTTCTGAGCGCCCCTCCGGCCGGCCGCTTCCGGACTTCTCTTCCCGCCGTGCGGGCCACGCCTCCTTGTTTTCCTCCCGGAGGAAGTCCGGAATCGGTTGTCGTCCCGCCGGCCTTTGTCCCGAGCGGCACGCGGCGCCTGGGAGACGTCGGAAATCCGCCTCGCGCGAGGTTTCGCTGTTTCCTAGACATTGCGCGTTGCCTCGGCGGGCTCGAGTTTTATTCGTTTGGTATTGTTCCTCCAATCCTCCCCCTCTCCTCCTCCTTCGAGTGTGCGGGACCCTCTTCCCCCTCCCACGGGACGTCTTTTGGCAGACCCGGAGTATTTTATTATTGTTCATATCTTCCGAGACGCGTCCTTATTTTTTCTCGTTTGTTACAGAACGCTTTGTTTTCTTAAAAAGTATGGGACTTCCTTCCGCCTTTCCTAGGAGCTTCTGCCTTCATTCGAGAGCCTGGGGAGTCTAAACGCCGCATGATGTGACGTCGAAGCCGAGGAGGGGTGGCACGCAACCGTGCGGTTTATGTCGGGATCCTTCTGGCAACGTGGGCTCCGTTTCATATCCTCGCTGCGCGGCCCACGCGGCGATTCGGAGTAGTTTTGAACGCGTACCCATCGCGTACGTGCCCGCGTGATGTGCACGTCTCCTGGTCTCTGAACTCGTCACCAGAGGCAGCGGCGGCGGCGTGGTTTGGAACGTTCCTTCTTCGGCGTCTGAATCCCGGAGCCTCCTTCGTCGTTGCTGCTTTTCCGACGCAGATCCAGACGGTGTTTGCTGCAGTGGCGTTTCTCTTCCTGGGGTCGTCTCTCTCTCTCTCTTTCTCTTCTTTTTCTTTGACGCTGTGGAAGGAAAGCATCCCAGGGCCCGAAAGAGCACAGAAAGGAAGGCCGGTAAAGGTTTGTCGCGCCACACTTTGAGCGGTTGCGCAGATTCCTTGTACTTACTTTGACACCGCGGGAAATTAGGATGGAGAAAGCGCACGGGCCCCCGTTCCTCCTGCTTCTTCCCACAATACTCGCCTACATGCCCAGGTCCGCCTTCCAACTTGCCGTCGTTGCAGTATTTCAACGACCGGTGCCGCCGTCGCGGCTGCCTCATTAACATTACCGCCATCACTCGCGCAGGATGTGGATCGAACAGGGAGGTGGTAGGCGTTGCATTTCTCGTCGGATCACCCCGCTTACATTGGTATCCTGCCTAGTTGTGCTTCAGTAACTTTTCATTTGGAGTGACGCGTAGCTATTGCCATTTCTTACGGTCGTACCGCGCTTGAGTTGCGGCACTTCCAGCACCTCCACCAGAAGTTTCTCCCGTAACAGCAACTGTTAGGAGTCGTACCATTGGCTTTCACCCATCCTTTTTTTTTTTTCTTTTTTCATGTGGCAGCTTTTTTGTCTGTGTTTTCCAAACCTTGGCATCGCTTCTCGCTCCCAGTCCTCTTCCGTGACGTGTGTACCTCGCGGGAAGTGCCCTGTACAAAAGAACACCTTTATCGATTCCAAGCACGACACATGCGAATGCACGCACACAGATCAACTTGTACAAGAGTCGTGCGAAACATTTGATATTTTCGGGCTCCTTTGTCGAGAAAAGTGTCAGCCTTCGCTTATTAACAAAACGGGCCACCACAGTCCTGCAACGGCATTCGTTGTTTGGCGCATTGCGACCGACGTTGATCGATCGGCACTTTGTGAAAGGGTGATTGGGTTAGCTTGAGATTAGACGGCAATGTCGGCGCGCTTGCATGCATCAGCCTTCTCCAGAAAGGAGCCTCGATCGTTGAGACGCTTTTCATCCCTCGCCGTTGGGTATTTACCCAACTCCGCTTTGTTCCCGTAGGCCTCTTACGTTCAAAGTCCCCTCGTCGTCAAAACGACACGTGGCACTTCAGCACCGTGCCGCACTGTTTACGCTGTTGTATAGGTTATGCAGCCTCTCGTTTTATCATTGAGTGTGTAGCCTTACCTCTTAGGATTTTGCACATTGTAGGCTGTTTTTTTTTCTAAGTTTGCATTTTCGAAATGGGCGTCAGCCCGGGCACGGGGCAGGTTTAATTTTTTTTTTCCTCGTCTGTCCCGGTTCATTGTTGGGTTGTTTCGTGTTGTTCGTTGTAGCCGCCTCCCCGTGAGTGTTTGGGAGTTCGAGACCTTCAGTGCCATAGCGTGGACTGTATTATTGAGTCTGAGCACACTTGTTTCTTCAGAGATCACGCCGTTTTTCAGTTTTTCTTTAACGGAGGGAAGAGTCGTGTATTGCGGGAGAAATGGAGCAATTAAAGAGAGGAAGAGCACCTCGACGTACCCGGCCAGGCAGAGCTGTGTAACGTTGGTCTTGACCACGTGCAGACGTCTGTCGAAGAGTACGGTGCAAGTGAGGATATACTTAAAACATGCGCCGCCTTTCTCCGTCGTGCAATCGAGCGACGCCATTAATATTTTTTTTGACGTGGGAACACATATCTAATGTTATTTTCTTTCACGTCACGAGCGTGAATGGCATGCATTGGGGGGTGGATAACCTCCGAAAAGCAGTTAGAGACCCCTGTTAGCTGTTTGGTGTCAGTCTCCGTCGTCCTGAGTTCCTCGTTTTCAAGCAGAGGCTTCGACGACCGACGTTCTTAGACCGAATCGGCCTGCGCCTTTGTCCGCTCCCTCGAGGTCAACTCTCCTCCGCAACGTGCGCGGGGTACTTCGACGATCCGTCGATCGTTTCGGTTCGACGGAAACTCGGACGCTTGGCCTCGAACGACCCGAGAAAGGTGCGACGAAGCGGTCTCGTAACTTTTGCGCAGCGGGAAGGAAAAAAAAAAAAAGCGTCGCGTTTTATTTGAGCATGCCATCAACGTTTGGACAGCTTGGTGTCGGTGTCAAGCAGCCGCGTGCGTAGAGCTTTCAGTCGTGCCCGCCGTCCCGCCCGCTAACCGCGGCGGGCGGACGGGAACCGAGACATTCCACACCGAGGTTGAGTGCAGAGCTTTATTATTTTTTATGTTTTTTGACATTTTGATCCGCAAAGCGTACACGAAGCCAAACGCACGGGTTGTCGCCGGCAAGAACGGCCCGCGCGACAATCTTCGCGTACGAGGCCGACACACACCGGTCCTAGCGGAAGGCAAAAGAAGAAAGAAAAGGAAGGCAAGACGATTTTGAAGAACACGTGTGTCTTGTGTCCTGTACGGCGTGTGAATTCGTGATATGTATGTATAAATATACATATAATATAATAATGCAAATTGTAGTCTTGTGTAGAAATAAAAAAACAAATCCTGTTTAAACTAACGATTCTTCTGTACCAGCCGATCACTTTGATTGCAATAAACACCACATGGTTGTCCCAACCGGCGACTCTCTTCTTTTGGGGGGGGTGTCGTGACTGGTGGCATTTGACTCCGAGTTTGCAATGCAGCGTTTCTGTTGCCTCTGCGAGCCATTGCGGATACTCTATTTGCTACGACAGCTTGCTCTGCCATTTGACATGCACTCTCTATTGCAGACCCGAAGCCTGGAATAAACTTTTCAGTCGTAATAACGACAGTCTTTCCTTATTAAGCACAAAATGATTTTTGCTACCAACAAGTGGTATATCTCCTCACCCAAGACGATTTCAGCTCGTTGTGGCTTCTGTCAAAATTCTCTCCGTGTACTGTGGCTTGTTTTGTTGCACCTCGAACTAGTGTTCGTAATGAAAGGCTCGAGAGATTACCATGGGCCAGTTCTAACATAGAAATTGTGAGGATCCAATATCTAGAAAATGCAGGGGAGTTCATTATTGGGGATACTGTTAAACCCTTTATTTTCGCGGCCCCTATTTTTTGCGAGTCGGTCACAGAAGACATAATTACGGCCACAGAATTTCGCGTATGCCAGACGCCTGCACTAATACTCTCGAGGACCAAAATTTTCGCATGCCCTTAATTGTTGTGAATTTTTCAATTTGCGACATTTGCGAAACTTAAGGGCTCGCTAACATTAAGGGTTTTACAGTAATTGGGTTTTTCCCAGAATTTAGGAATTTGACACACAGGTCATCGCAAACGTAGGAAGTGGTTGGAGGTTAGCTTTCCTAGCTCGTTCCCTAAAAAGCAAGAGTCTATGAAATGTTTGTCTCTAATTTTCCTGAAGTTGCAGCAGTCGCTCAACATCAATTACCGCCTGTGCAGGAACCGATATGTCGTCTTTGTACTTTGTACCATAGTAAAAGGCCGCAACATTATTAAAGTTTTGAGAAATATGTATCTTGCTTTTTTCATCTTGGGTAGGCGTATCGCATACACACTAGCTACACGTGTCTTAGTCAGATTGGCTTTACTGCAGTGCACACAAACACTGCAGCAAAGCTAGCGTGATGGAGTAACCTTGCATCACATTGCAGGAGAAAGAGTTGCAAGAATTATTATATCTATAATGGGCTTGCTTTGGGCTTTCTGTAGAGCCAAAGAAAGAAAATTTACCTTAAGTACAGACAAAGTAATGATCTGTTAAATTTAACCGAAAAGCGACCGGAGTGACGAGTTTGACCTGTGTTTTAAAAAAAAATCAAATTCCTAAAAATATTTGAATACATCAAGGTATTTTTATAATACCTATTAAATGATGGGGAAAAGTTAGAAGGGTGTAGAGAATACAATAACGTTAGCAGAGGGTGTCAAACACGCGACCTGCGACGGCAGGCAAAAACACTAGTTTCTGCCACTGCGGCTTCTACGGCTCTTAACTCGAGAACAAAAAATCGGTTTGCGCCCTCCTTCATTTGAGAAATACCCCAAAAACATATATTTTTTCGTGAAAATTAAAAATTAAACCCTTTTACCCTGCCCGATTTGAGATGAAATCACCCATATATATACACCGTGAAATCACGACATGTACGACAGAAATGCGACATCATTCAATCAGTGCTTGTCAATCTGCTATCTACTTTACAAAATATTTTAAGAACGCCTCCTCAGAGCCAAACAGGGCTATCGATGGAGCGCTGACACACGTGCCTTCAACGCACTCCGATATGAAAGACGCTTCGGATATCTCCCTTGTCATTTTGTTTCGGTTTTGGGCCAAGATAATGGTGTTGTCAAACTTCGGGACACACCCACATCTGTCACAGTGCACAGCCAGATCTCCCGAGGGTGACGATCTAACTTGCAATGCATGCCCCCCCGCGCCAGAATACAGCCGCCATTGCTGACCTTCTCTTGTTTTACCGAGATACCGAGCCACTGAAATTGGTGTGGAAGAGCCTCCACAAAGGTCAATGCTGGGGAGAAAGACAGAATAAAATCTAGGGTGGCAATGACCTAGCCTGCTATGGTAATAATGAAGGGAAGTAAACGTGAGAAGGGGAAACAAAAACTGAAGGTCAGTTATGGCGGCGCCCATGCACAGCAGCTGCAAAGCGTCTTATCATTTATACAACGTCCCGATTGGCCTATGTATACTTTGCTACATGATAAATGAATCTTGTAAACCATGCCCTCGCTACACTTCACATACCTGGTCAAGACCAGGTGCTGCCGGCTCTACTCCATGGGACAGTTAATGCTTTTGCATTAACACAAGTATTTGGAATATCTATTTAAAATGCTTAGTGTATTTTGTGTTTGATTGCATGTTGTGCAATATATTTGTCAACTGTATTTAATCACTGAAAACTGAATATTCCAATACATATATTTCCAATACTGCCATAATACAATTTTGGCACTCTTCTTTGTAATCAAAATTACAGGAGAACACTTATGTGTAGGAAGGCGAAAGCATCACAGTGCCGCAGGTGAAATATTTTCGAGTAATGTTTCGACACATGTTAAAGTTTAAGAGACGACGTCCTAGAGATCGACACCAAGTACGGCATCTAGGACGACCTCTAGGATGACGCAGAAGGCAACCTCTTGGGCGGCCTCCAGGACGACGTCTAGGATGACTTCTAGGACGACGTCGAGAACGACCTCAAGGACGATGACGACTTCTAGGATTTCCTCATGGACGTCGCCAAGGACGGCGTCGTGCTTGAGCACATGCTGCGCGTGCTTGATGACATATGTTTATGGCCATCTTTAGGGCAAAATACCGCCGCCTTTTCGTGAAATGGGGCCTTTGGCTTAAAATGCAACAGTGTGCAAAGGGCATGAAACTTGTAGCACTTTGCACGTAATATAGAAGAAAAAAAAGGAACAGTAGAACAAGAAGTGAGCAGAATGAGAACAATATATTGACTTTTTGATTAAGTGATCTATTTTTTTACCACATCATCGCATTAACCACATGTTGTTTGAAAAGCTCGGCCTCTGATATAGCCACCTACAAGTGGTGACAAACAAGTTTTCTCTTTAGAGCTGCAACGTTCTTTTTAAAGGGACATTGACAGGGCATTTATGCTCACCGAGGTTTTTAGTTGTACGTGACATATGAGAGCCCAACTACCCAGAACATAATTTGCGGCTCAAAATTCGGTTTCTTTCCGCCCGAAAACCGCCGGTCGAGAACTGGCCGGTTTGAGTCGCGCCCGCTCTCTTTTCTGTGGTCACAGGCCATTTTCTAAGGTCTAGACGCAACCACCAAATATAATCAAAGTCGTAGGTCATCGAAGGCACGCACACAATATTAAAAATAGAAAAGAAATATTATACCCATTTTTTTGTGGCTTCTAAAAAGCTGCAAATGCGTTGTTTGGAGGAAAAAAGTATCACAGCCACGTGACTTCCGTCGCCTTTCTCCTCCTCTATATTAATGCGAAAGTATTAGCTATCCCATGGAGCGAGCTGACATCATCAGTTCGACGAAGCACGAAAACGGCACCCAGTTTCCCCGATCCCAAAGGAGTGAAGTAAAGCTGATGGATTTCGCCTTCGGTTCCATAGGTTCCATTAACTGGCGCGCGTCGACGGGGCTCCATTGGCCGCTGCGCTCGTCAGTTTCCACGACCGCTCACCCCATGGCGCTGCGTGTCCATCAGCGCACACGGAGCGTCCAAGCTCAGCGCGCCGAGGAGAGCGCGCGCGCTGTCCGGCGACTAAAAGTACGCAGCAGACGAAAAAAGGGAGCGGACGAGCGGCTTGCATGCTTTCGGATTCACAACTCATAAGAAGTGCTTAGGTATACCTCGAGGTTTTTTCCTCTTCCTCCTCAGTCCAGTTTCAATTTCGAGCAGTTGCGTTTTTTTTTTACTTTATTAAAAATATATGTGAAGCTGTAGTAAAATATTGATTGGGTAGGGAACAACAGGGTTTTGGAGCAGAGATTCCTACTCTTGGAGCAGACAATTTTGAGCTTTCATTTCAGAAAAGTTTATATGATCTCTTCGAAAATTAGCCTGTGGAAAAAAAAAAAACGGCAGTTGTTGGAGTGTTGGGAGAATATTTAAAGTTTTGTACCTACAAGGGGCCTGGCCGCTAAAATATTTATGTATTTATTGAACATTCATGTGCGGGTAATTTTGCAGATGTCTCGATTAACCTTTAGGAGTATCGACGGCGTCTTTGGTATGTGTTTGACATAAAAGATCTTTTCGGCTACTTTAAAGGGTTTGTGTCACGATGACATAATTGTCATGAGTTCGACATAAAACGGACACTTTTGTGTTAAATGTGTCTCACGCTGCTCTCTGTTTTGTAGTAGTTAGGCATGTGCAAATAATGAATTTTGGGTTCGAAGCAAATTCAAAGTGTATGGTGGTTTTTGGGCGAATCATTTTGAATCGAATATTGAATAGTTGCTGCGCCTTTCTCAACACCTTTCACTGCTGTTCCACCACGCTTAAACGAAAATTCAGCTGTACTCGCAAGGGTTGTTCCCAAGCGTCTAATTGCCCACTTACAAGCTCTGTTATAATTAATCTAGCTATATTTATAGACTGTGGCCTCAGAAAGTCCAATACCTACATTTAGATGGCAAGTAAACGACAGATTGGACATTAAATTAAACCTATAAAGGGCCCAGCCATACCTAATTGAGGGAGTTTATAAATATTCATTCTTGCTATATGGAGATATTTTCTTTGATCCTGAATTAAAAAGAAAAAAAAACAAGCACAAATAATGAAAATAGGTTGTTAGAATATCGCTGCCTAACATACACCCTTGCAAAATAGCTAAAGTTATTTTTTTTTAAAGATTTTACTGCAATGTAAATATCAGCAATCACAATGTTTCCTTTTTTTTTTTACATTAGGCGCAAGTGCACCATACTATTTTGGAGGTGTGTTTTTCGCCTAAGTGCGCGGCTTCGCTGCGGCGAGGTCGCGAAATCGCGGTGTTAGCTCCGCGGGTACTGCTTCTCCGCACGGTACTGGTGCTTGGGGAGAAGCGGACTCAAGGGGGCTAACCCGCCGCGATCCAGACTTCGAAAAGTGCGAACAACGCAGTTAATTTTGAAGCGAATATCAAATAGCATATTATTTGGAACTACTATTCGAAAATTCGAATATTCGCGCAACCCTACTCTTCGCACATTGTGCTAAAAAAATACTTTTATTATATTTAGTAGCATTGCCAAGAATGCCACGTGCCAGACACTTTCAGTTTTCTTTTCAAGAACAGCTCCCTTTGGCGCAGAAATGGCCTGAATTGTGCACAAGTACAGCCTTGGTAGAAGTATGTAGCAGGTTATTCGTTCTGGCGCCGTTTGGCGCAAATGGTGCGGCTAGGAAAATGCTTCTCCTATGTCTTGATGTAAAAGCGGCATCTGGAAATGTTTGTAGCAGTCATAGAACAGAACGCTCTTGCGGAGACCATGGAGAGCTTGGAGACCAGCAGCGTCGCAGAAGGTTCACAAATGTGGCTGCAACACTTCCAATTTTCCACAGGCCTTTGGAACTGTGTTGCTTTCGAAGTTTATTTGGGGGCCCGTATTTGTACCTACAATGAAATGTCCAATGTGTTTCGAAATCAAGCAGCTACTCCGAGTACCGGCAGAATATAAAGTGCATATACTAAATATTAGGACGCTATATGCAACCAGGCTCCTATTCCCGATTCCAGCTTGTTGCTCGCCCTCTCACGGCGGAAACGGGAAGCAGTCTAGTGAAGGTCCCCCGGTTCTCCTGCTCAGCAAGCAGTGTGGAACTGCTCGCAATCGTGGCTCGCCAACAGTCATTTCTGAATGCAAACAGCTCTTCACTGTCCCAATGTAGTGCTACAGCTGGTATGGGATTGTACCTTATTAAAGAGATTTAGTATTGCATATAGAAGTAAGCGCTGTGCATGCGCGTCTTCGCCATGCTCCAATCTAAGACCGCAATTTTAGGCTCCGCACACTTGCAGTGTGGAATACGCAATGCTAAAGCAAACACGGTGCTTGCGTTCGCTCGTATACACAATATTAAAAGTCATCAGTGCAGATTGCTGGCCGATTTGGCACACGGGTGTTCAAAAACATGATAGCGCCCGAGACGAGGAGGCGAGTGGACAACACAGAGCATTGCGTTGCCCAGTATAGTCCCTTGCCCTCATCTCAAGCACCACCATGTTTTGGAATACTAAAAACTCACTACTGTTTCACCGGCTTCCAACGCCAACAAAACGTGCTGCAGTGAGCAGACCTGCAAGCGGGTATGTGTTCTTTCAAACTGCAAAGGCCGAGATTGGCAAAACTATGGTGCGTAAAAATGAAAGGAAAAAAATGTTCTGGGACGTTTTGTAATTAAAAAAGAACAGCGGAATCCGTATTTTGTATTGGTGACGAACTTGGAAGTTTTGCCGATTGTAAAAAGCAGCGACTTTGATAGCATAGCACCCGCAAATAATGTCATTTTTACATGGATTTTTTCAGACTAGCTAGGATTTTCATTTATTTTTACTGTTTCTATTTTATAGCTTGTTAATTAAACATGCTGCAATTGGCACCAGTGATGATAATTTGCCAGCTTTGGATTACCATAGTTGTTTGCATGTTTAAAAGTATGTAAAAGCAACAAATATATTAAATTCTTAAAAAATTATGTATTAAAATATTTTAATTGTATTATTAATGCAAATTGCGGTAATACAGGCCCCCAATAAACGTCACAATAACAAAAATATGCCATTTAACCATAATTGTCTTTACATAAAGGTCTCATTTTGTTTTCTTCTTAGAATATGAAAAACTTTGACATCGTTATCAAGATAGACATAAACCCAGGATTTAATAAAAGTATGACTCCAACTCCATTTTTTACTTTTTGTAGTGAGAACAGTTTCTTAATTTACACGTTTTCTGAACATATTCGAAACTCGCCACCCATTGCAATATTTTGAAAATTTGGATTGATTCTGTTATTCTTGTGCTGAAAAAATGCTGAAGCCATCAAAATGCCCAGAAATCCATTAAAGGGAAGATGGGGCGGTTCTGCATTTGAGAACAAACACTCGTATTGTGTTCATTTGGGCGTTAGATTAACAGATATCACAATTATATTTCAATGCGACGTGCCGGAGAGCCATAAGAGCAATTTCAAAATGGGGCCTCCTAGCCTTGGGCAGGCAAAAGATCCGTTGATGACGTCACGTACAGCGACTGTTTTTTGCGTTTTCTCGCGTTTAACAATACATGCGCAGCAAATGGTTTGGGCATTTGGGTTCATGAGGTAAAAATCCACTAGAATTCACTCCCATCTCATTTTTTTCAAGAAGCTCCGTAGCTTCCCTTTAAAGAACCTGCAGTTCATTATTTCACATGACAATTATCTGAGTGAGAAAAGGGAGTAAGAACACACATATCAGGGCTGATTTTTTCAATAAATGCAATATTTTATGTTAGCTCTAAGGAGTATGAAGGACTCTGTCTTCAAAGGAACACTGAGCATTCCAAAATATATTGAAGTGCCCGGATCAGAAACATAATTTCCAGCAAACAATTCCATTAGCTCGAGAATTATGCTGCAAGACACATCTTGAGGTAAGCAAGAAACCGAAATTAACGCCTTACTGAGAAATTGAGCACAAAATAGAAGTTAGTTTCAGTTTCGTCCCTGAATTAAAACGTGCCTCCTGGCAGAAATTTTACGTTAAAGACTGTTTTTGTTTTCAGGATAAAGAGGTGACCTACGCGCATAACATCCTAGCTTCCTTATATAAGTAGGAATAATATGAGTCGCTCAGTGAAGCCCACACACTAGACAGGCTCAGCAACTGGTATACGAGCACGCATCTCCGATCCTTACTATAACTGCCATTTTGGAAAACGAGTGGCGCCACCTATAGACAGAGTCGCAAATAGTTTCCCACACACTCCTGGTGGAAATATATTGCCAGAAGACGAGTGCCTGAGGTGAAGGATGACCTTGTAATATACTGCATCACGAGAAGTCGGCAACCGAATGATGCATGCCTGCCACACCACGTAGTGGCCATATTAGTGCACTTTCGTTCATGTTCATTCTAGATCAACTAATGAAGGAAGCTCGTAAAAACTTAGCCCATCTTTATTGTCAACATGCAAGAGTGTAAAGCAAGCTGTATTCGGTTGCAAAAAGATTAAAAATTAAAAATTGCACCCCCTCTTCCGATGCTGCATCCAGAATGAACTTCTTTGAACGAACAGTCCGAGCTCAAGAAATGTACAAAATTCAATGCGCGACCCACAACCGCGAGAGTTTGATGTGGAGAAAGAGTCTATTGTACAAAGCGGTTGCGGTCGACCCCCGCCCAGAATAAATACGACATATCACTATTGGTTCGAAGGCATTGTGGTCAAGCACGGCGGGGTCCTCAAAGAAGCTTTTTTGTTAAGATCTCGTAGACCATGCGCCGCCGAAAGTAGGGCATGTGCATCTGGTCGAAGGTGATCTTGGCGTCGCGAGTAATGTACTCGGCGTACTTGAGGGCAAACATGCCACAGTCGCTGCCGTTCATCTGCTGCGGGATGTCCTTGACAGCCTCGAAGGTCCAATCGGACAGGTCCAAGTCAGTGGCCCGCTTGTCCCGGCTTTCGTCCTGCAGGTATTGGCGCAGCACCTTGTGGCACTCCGGGTTGGAGCCGCCCAGTGAGTCTAGATAGCGGATGCTCTTGATGCGAAAGTCCACCACTGCCAGGCACCAGTGCAAGCCCAGGTGAACGGGCACCAGCAGCAGGTCATGCGCAAACACGTCCACGTGCCGGGTCCAGCGCCGCAGGGCTGCATGGCCGCTCGTCAGTAGCTTGGGGTAGAAGAAGGTGTTGAAGGCATACACCGAGGGCAGGCCGGGCTCCGTGCGGCCGCGCTCCATCAGCAGATTCATGTAGAAATTGATCACTTCGTCGTTGAGCCAGTTGAGGCCCGCCAGTGTCTCCATGTCCTTGCGGGTCACCAGGAGCTTGAAGCCCCGGGCCAGAACCTCCTCCGGGGGAGTGGGCCGCAGCGCCTTCTCGATGGCCGCCTCCATTTCAGCCGTCAGCTCGGGGAGGACCTCTTCCTTGGCGGGTTCCGCCACTTCCTCGACGACCTCGGCTGGTCGGACGAGGCGCTCTTTGCTGAGCAGACCCTCGCAGGCCCGCTCTTGCCGCTTGATGCGCGCCGCCTGGCTCTCCTCCGAGAACGTCAGCTTGGTCTTCAGCTCCTGGAGCCACGAGGGCGACAGAAACGGGCTCGAAGGCATCGGTGGCAGCGGCTGCAGGGGCTCCAGTCGCTCGGGAGGCTTCTGGCGCAGTCGAGGCGTCCGAGGCGGCTCGCGTCTCACGGTGGACGCCACCTCGAGCAGGTTTCGGGAGATCCGTGGAGGACGTGTAGACTCGTCCTTTATGTCCAGTTGCTCGAACCGTCGAGTCGGGGACTCCAGTTGGACGGTGCTCACTGACGCGTCGCGTACCTGCGGTTTGGGGCGCGGTCGGAGGTACCCGGACGTGCATTGCTGCAGCAGTTGCTGGTACTGCTGCTTCTCGTCCATTCGGATGCAGTGGTACGGAGTCAGCTCAGGGAACCGACCCCCGTTCCGCTCTTGAGCAGGCTTCGCCGCTCCCGTCTCGGCGTCGGGACGGCTCTGGCCACCGTAGTGTCGACCCCAGGCTCCGCCGCCTGGTCGACGCAACGCGGCGGTCGACCCGAAGTCATGGTTCTTGACGTGTGGGCGCACGAAGCGGTCCGGCAAAAGGGGCGCGCTCGATGACCGCTCAGCCGCATGCTCTAAGCGAAAATCCCCGGACGGAGGACACGTCGTCTGCTCCTCCGGCCTGGCAGGTTCGGCAGTGACGGGCGGCGCGCTCGGGTGTAAACACTCCATCGCCTGGCGCACGAAGTAATTGTCCATCGGCTTGCGCAGGACCCTGTGCAGCCAGTTGAGCGGTACCGCTCGCCTCTCCATGCCGGCGCGTTCACCCAGCCCTCGGCGAGGACACTTGCGACTCGTCGAGGATTCATCGTTGTCGTCGTCCATGGTCTGTTCCCGCCTGCGCTTCTGGGACCTCCGCCGCCGCTCCTCTGGGGCTCTGTCGGCTCCTGGCGGAGAGAAGAGACGACGTAACGCTGCCCCGATCCCTGCCAACATTTGTTCGCGCGGTGTTTGACACGCAGCGTCTCAAATTTGCATTCCTCGCACTTTGTCGGGAAAGTTTGTCCAGTTTGGCGCGTCGAAATAGAGCAATGGCGGACGGAAGCCGAGCCGGCATTTGCAAAAGTGATAGTTGCCTGCTGCAAAACCTAGTCGACGACAAGTTTAGTCAATATTTTTTACAAGTGAAAAAAAACACCAACGAAATGTTTGTTATCTAAAATATTTATTTGAAAAACGTTAGAATGCGTTATCTTTGCTTCGCAGCGAGATCTCATAGTTTTACGAGAAAACGAAACCTTCCGGAACGTTTGCGGAAACAAAAAACTGACAACAAGCACCACGTGGGGGGTTCGGCGCATGCGCAGTTTCGACTTGTTGCGATTTTTGCGACGGGGTGCGAGAGTGATTCAATATTCAATGATTAGCTGATGAATAAGCGCATTATGTCACTGCGCTCATTATGTAACCAACGCTGCACTGCTTACTGCAATTGGTAAGGTCTCTTTTCTTTATATGGTCCATGCTTACATTGTACAGTTACCCGATACCCGATTGCGGGAGTGACATTGTATGGTGCGGTAGTCGATGCCAAAGTTATCTCGAAATATACCTTGCTTTTGGAAATGTCCGAAAAATGTTCCACACAGTATGCCGTCGGGAATAAGCGCGTTTTCATAGCCAGACCTGTGACCCGATTTTTGCGCCTGACAGCAAATTAAGTATCTAAAAAAAGTAAACAAAAAATGCCATGAATTTTATTTTGCTGATTCATTAAAATTCCGTTCTTAGTGCTCGAAACGCACGTTTTCCCCCGCATATAAGCCTAGTTTTGTCGGTAACGTGCCAGAAAAGGTTCCGAATTCCAGTCAAGGTCGGCGACTGGGTGTTCACCCACCGAGTAACTGCTCGATTGAGCGAGAAGACAGCACATGTTGCATCGTAGCACACTTTTTTTTTCCCCTTCTCTTTCATCTTTGCCGCATGTTCGTCCGCCGTGTTTGCCGTCAAAGCTGCTCGCCCTCTCGTATTTATCCGCGTATCTCGGGATCCGAGAAAGCACAAAACTTCAGAGTGAAAAAAAAAAAAAAAAAAAAAGTTTTTTCGTGCGTTTTTCGGTTTGCATGTTTACCATTTCTGAGAACGACGGATGCGTCATACGATTTCGCCTTGGCTCGTTTACGCTGAACGTCGTGCCCGCGTTTGCCGTTATCTGGCAAGTGGAAGTTGCCAGTTTTGCCTAGGTACTTGCTATTTATATTCTGTATATCTCGGGCACCTAGCAACCTTTGAAGTTACGACGACCTTTTAATGTCAACTTTCTTTCCGTTCTCTCTCTCGCCAGACGATTCTTTTTCGACTAAAAGGGGGTCTAACTTCGGGTGACGAAAGATTTCACACCCCTGGCCAAATTTGCAGCAAGGGTTACTTGCCTCTGTTAGTCAAACTGACTTCAGTTTGCATTTGAGAGAAGCTGCTGTTTATGATAGGGTTGAAGTCGAATAAACATCCTTTTGGGTGACGTTTCTTGTCAGGCCTGCGTTTCTTCCCCACTCCCGAGCCAAATAAATGAAAATGTTCAGTTTACTTGAACTTCAGATATTTCAGTTTAATTGAATCTGTGCGGGATGTGCATAATCCCCAGTTGAATTTGTGCTGATACAAACAGTTCAGTATGAACATGCCTCGTTGCTGCACTGTCCCAGTTCAAGATGAGTTGCTTTCGTGGCACTTTATGCTCTCTGTGGCATAGTGTATTTGTTGTGATGTGACAGTCTGATTCCCTTGTCTTTTTTTTTTTATTAGCTGTAAAAATGTTTTTTTTTTTTTTGTTTAACCCAAGATGTCCAGGTAATGCTCAGATAGGTGAGCGGGAATAAGTCGGTCACTTAAGAAGCTTGACATCTTTTTTTTCTGTTTTGTCTGTCATATGGACACTGCATTTGATCAAAGCTGTGTCATTCAAATTACTTTTTCTTGCCATAGTGGTAAGAAGGTGTGCCTGGCAAGGGTTGTTATCTGAAATTCTGCGCGTGAAGTCCATGACATCATGGAATGGTCATTCGCTCTTTTGACCTCAACAAGATGGTCATTCACTCTTTCCACATCAACGTGAAGGTTTCTTCATTAGCAGTGGCAACTCAACCACTGCATCTATTGCACCAATCCCAATTACACTTTTTAAAAAAACTTTTTTTTTTTCTTTTAGTGGTTTTTTTGTTTAGCATTGACGCACTTAAGAGTGCGTCAACGCTAAACGAAACAAGAAACTAGTATGGTTTGCTCCTCGCTCATCCCCAGTTGATAAAAAAAAAATGGGCTCATTTTCACTCCTGGTGAACAGATCCGTGAATCGCTGATAACTATCCCAAATAAACAGCTCACTGCAACAAGTTTATGATTTTCTAAAAAAAAACAGTGCTCAATTTGATATTAAATAGAGGTGCCAAGTTATTTGACACCTGACACCTATTTCTCGCGGCGAGCGATTTGAATGCGGAGAATCGTAAGCATTGATAGAACTTTGTTTTGTGATATGAAACTAATGCAGGTGTTGCCAAAATGAAACAAGTAATATTCACTACCACTGTGACAGTTAGGTCCTTTTGTCAGAAGCATTTGATCGTAAACTAAAGCCAGAGAAGACCAAAACAGGATACCTCTCGTCCATTGGAACTTTGAACCAGTTCTGTCCCAGCTTTCGGCAGTAATGGACCTTTTGGCGAATATGTGCTGCCACCTAGAAACGCAACTGGGTTCGAGACTAAGTGGCTAGAAAACAACGCTCGCGCGAGGCCTCTCCCACTTGTTCCACACCCAGAACGTTAGCTACATCCTGTTCACCAATTCAGGCACTGTGACCTAGATACGGCTCTCCCAAACTTGCCTTTGTCCCCATCGTTCGTGATCTGCCCCGAAGTCGACACGAAGAAACCATCTTCCCTCTCTGCTCGGCCAGAACGAAGAGAGAGAGAGAGAGGGTACTAGAATTAAACACTCTCGAACCAATGTTTCTACAAAAGGTCCATTGTTCCCACATTTGGCATGGCAGTTGGTGTGGTGATGACGAAAATCCATGCTTAAAGGAGTACTCCGGCGATTTTTTTAGCTACCCCAACTAGCTCTATTTTCTGAATCCCCAACCCTCACTCTTTTCGATGTGCTGTTTAGTATCGCGAAATTCATAATAGTTATTGTGAAATCGGCAGATGAAAATGATGCAAAAAAAAACAATCAAATATGACGTCAGCGGCAGGTAGGCTTGCCAGTCAAGCAGACAGTCTAAAAAATGAACTATGGCGAGCAATTGTTCCAGAGCATTTATTGGACACCATGCAACTGCTTGAAATCAGTTGTAAACAAATACTATAGTCCAACGAGTGAACCCCTGCCTTCCGTTGACGTCATTTTTTTCATTGTTGCCAGAAGAGACTGTTTGAAAAATATGGTGAGGACTGAATTGTAAATTCAATAACTTTGTTAAAAAATATATATATATATATTTTGACCTAATATTTGGGATACTATGGACCAGGGGTGGCCAAGCCGCGGCTCGGGAGTTGCATGCGGTTCTCCGCTTGTTCAAGTGCGGCTCATGGCTCCCTCCCCTACCACCCCCCCCCCCCCCCCCCAAACACACACACACTCCTGCGCCTCCCTCCCGATCACCCGAGCACCTCCCCCAAAAAAGAAATAGAACGTGTTTTAAAATCAAAAGACACGTTGAGGTTTAGTAATATCGTGCTACTGCTACCTTACGTACAGTTGGACTGCTTTTGACTTGAATAGATTGAAAGTAGTTCAAGTTTCGTTTATTGCTCCCCCCCCCCCCCCCCCCCCCCCCCCCCCTTCCCCTTTGCGGCTCTTGGAAGTTTCGTGGTTTTGTGTGCGGCTCTTAGGTCGGGTCAACCTGGCCACCCCCGCTATAGACCGTTCCATTTAGCGCTCTCAGGGTGGCGCCATTTTGTTAGACCGCAGCACCCTCTCCACACATCCGGGGAGTTCAGCAGGTTCGTCGGGGTAGAACGAGACAGAGGGCACGAGCCGACTCTGCTAGCAGACGATAAACCGGGAGGTTGCCGTTCTCCATCTTTGGGCTATACCGGTGGGCTGCACCGAACTCTTGCTCATGGCTGCCATTGTGAAGTGTTTCGCATTCTTAGAATATTTATGGCTACTCCAAGATCAGCCTTGAAGCGCTCTGTTGTTTTATTTCAGTAAATAATCAACTAGCGTATCTTTATTCCGTTACTTCAATAGCAGTGGAGTCAGCCGGCAACTTAACCACTGCGTCTATTGCGCCAGGAGAGCACGTTTTTACATATTATTCCAGACTTCCACTCATTGTCGCTAAAGGCCTACACCAGTACGAACTTCATATAGTAAAATAGCTACAGCAACCGGATTTTCTTTTCACCGGAGGACCGGCCACTCTGACACAATTTTCCCCGTTTCTTTTTTTATTTGCACCCAGGTAACAGCGCAGTTAGACCCGGTTAGTCTTTTTTAGAGCATAGCATTACACGCTAACTTACATATTAAGATCTGCGCTTGAAATTTCCAACAGGACGCAATTTTAAACCGAATTTGAACGCCAGCCGTATGCTAGGTACAACCCACTCGGCGGAGCAGACAACGTGCGGAGTGAGAGAGGGAGGACATTTTTTAGAGCGTAACTCTTAGGTGCCCGTTTCCGGCTTGAGCGGCGTCGCCGTCGGCGCAACGAAGGTCACCCCAAGGTCGCGTCCCCAGGGCATGCGACCCCCCAAGGTCACGTGACCCCCAAGGTCATGTTACCGCTCCAAGGTCACGTGACCCCCCCCCCCCCCCCCCCCGAAGTCACGTGACACCCCCCCCTTCCCGAGGTCGCGTGACCCCCTCCCCCACGAGGTCAGGTGACCCCCCCCCCCCCCCCCCCCCCCCCCCCGGAGCATATTAAAGAATGAGGGAAGGAGGAGGAGGGGTCTACCCTCCCCTCAGTACCCTTCCCTCCTCCTCCTCAAGGCTGCGCTCCAATTCGGCATTACAGGGAGTTGTAAACGGCTTTCAATTTTTTTCTCTTTGCTCTTCCTAGTGGAACGGTCTATTGCAGCAATGTTTTTGGTGTGTTTAGCAAATTTTCAGGCAAATCGGGGACCACGAAGAAGTCTCCTTTAACCATATTCCAAAAGCAACGCATTTCCAAGAAGAAAAAAAAGAAAGCTGCACTCACAGAAACCTTTTGTGGCGAGGTCCTTCCAGAAGCGAAACAGAATGCTGCTTGCGTGTCTTGCCCGTTCAAACGGTTCACCGACTTCTTGACACCAGTGGCCAGTGCATCTTGAGTTTGGAGAGAACTAAAGTTCACCCAGGCATGTTGAAAGAGTGAAAGAGAAAGTTACACTAACAACTGTTAAAGCTATTCATGCCTTCAAAACAACTTCACCTTTATTTCATGTTATGAATTATATTGATCCTATTTGTTTAAAACAAGATAACGTCTGTCCACGCCCGCTGGGAGTGCGGCAATCGGTAGCGGTTTGTCGGGCCGGACATACGTCATGAAAATCAGTGGCCTAAAGGAAGTGGCCGAGAGCTTCATTCCCCTGACTGAGCTTTCGGTTGCATGTCGAAAGATCCGCAGGTGGACAAAATTAATCCTCGGTCCTCCGCTGGGGCGTGCCAGATGCCCGTCGTAGGTTTGGCACGTAAAACCCCCAAATTTGACTTTTTTTCTTTGGTAAAACCAGCTGAACAAAGGAAGGAAAGTGACAAGGAGAAAAGATTGGCGAACCGACCGCTGGACTACCAACTGTTTTTTTCCAGCGGTCGGTTCGCCAATCTTTTCTCCTTGTCACTTTCCTTCCTTTATTCAGCTGGTTTTACCCAAGATGTCTCAGAACCAACTAGCTCAGCTTTTACCCTTAGTAAGTTGACTTTTTTTATGCTAAATAGATTTTTTCCAAAATTCAGTCGGGTCACTTTGATCACTATCATCACCATCTGAAAAATGGCATATGTGCCATACTAATGGCGGCCTTCTGTTTACTGATGAAGGAACATGTTGAAGATACTCCTCAACTGAGGATTTGAGGCCTATACATTTGAGACGTTAGCACGTTGCGAAGGAGGAGTTGAATGTAAGAGCTGCGTAAGCGTTTATTTCTATAACTCCAGCCCAGTCAATCTTTTAGTAGCACAAAATAGACTTCAAAGCCCCTTGATGTATAGAACTTTATCGAGGCGTCTATCTGGGTTGGCGCTTTGTTCTGACTGGTTGCATCTTTGTGGCCATCAACACTGAAACGGGTGATCGAGAAATAACTGCACAGTGAAGAGCACATTCTCGTTTGCCGTTGACTTGTGAAAGTGACGGTGCCCGATAAAATACTGCAGGCTACAGGTTCATTGCCGCTATGAGTACGGCAAAGGTTAAACTGCCAATTCAGCCACCAGATGGCACTGAATTTTGAAAAGGATCTATTGTGCCTTCAAATTTAAGCAAGGGCCAACATATGGACGCAGATACAGCATGTTGTCACGTTAGCGACATAACTCAACTACTCCAGCCAAGCTTTTATATAAAATTTTTTTTTATTTACAATATGGAATGCTCGTGACCAGAGCTTTTAGGTCAAGATTTTGAGCATCTAATGTTAACCTTGCCAGAAGGAATTGGTGTCTTGAATCTGTGCTTCTCTTTCAATGTTTCTACTAACGTTCTTGGGGGGGGCTACATCAAACAAATTAATGTGTAGCAACCCTTTATTACCCTCACTGTCATGGACGAACATACTTTGTCCTCAAGCGAACACTTTTGCTTCTCATGCCCCTCCTCCACAAATTTCTGGAGAGAGGAGCCTTCTGGAAACCTTGGTCTGGCAGCAGACTAGTTTTTAAGAGGCTTAGCTTCTTCCGCGATCTCTCTAGGGTCAAAGTTTCGTCCCTTGGGATTGGAAACCCTACTCTTGTCGGGTGTCCCTCTGTCTGCGTTGTCAGGTGATCCAACCCGCGGGAGTAACTCCGATTTACCCGAGAAGTATTTGGAATACGCCCCAGATGGGGGGTTTGTTCTCTGTCTCAGAATTTCACTGTTTTTGTAGACCGCCAAGTGCAACACGACCGACCCCGTCGATATTATGGGGGTGTAAGTGGTTCACCGGGTGCCATTGCTGACTTGGATTAGATTGTGGCAGTTTAAAGGCTGGTTCAAACACTCGCAACTGTTTAGGACCGTGTGCCTTGAAATATCTTACGACGAGAACTTACTGGCGCCATCTGTCAGGTGGAGCAAATGCAGCTTCCGTATTTCCTTTTTTCCTTGCTCATCATACTTTCTTCTTTATACATATAATGCATGAACACCACAAAACCTGTCCAGTGAAATTCAGTTTCAGGGTCGTCACCTAGATGGTGCCAGTGTCTTCTCTCGTGGTAAAAGATCATAACGGTCCTAAGCAAATGCGAGTATGTGAACGGGCCCTAACCCTTCGTATCGCAGCGTAAAGAACTCCCGAACCCCGTGTTGCCCGCAGAGTGTGCGACCGAGAGGGGACAGAGACGGCGGAAGGCGGCACCGGGTGCGGGGCTTCCGGGGGGGAGGCTGGCTTCTCCCTGGAGCCTCTCCAGCCCCACAGCCCCCTGGCAGGGGTGGCCCTGGCACAGCTGCAGGACCCTGAGCAGCTCAAGGCCATGGGCCTCTGCGGGGATACCCTCATCATCCTCGGCGATGCGGGGCAGGGCCCGCAGCCAGTCAGCGTGGTGCGTTCATACGAGTTCCGCTCTTTCGCCCGGGTGGTCGTGTTTTGCGTATGCGGCGACCGTTGGCGAGGTTTTTGCAGCAGGGAATCGCAGGGATCTGTTTGGCCCACTAAATTTAGCGGTAAACGTCTCCGGCTATATTGAGCAGGGAATCGCAGTTTCACGTAACAAGTTAGTGTTCTTCCTCTAAATTTAGTGGGGAAGCGCTCCACGTGACGCAAAGTCACGTGAAACATTTCCCTGCAACAAGTTTGTAGGATATTGTGATGCAGTGATCCGATTGCTGCTCCATTTGCGCCGAAACACTTAATTTGCTACATCCTGCTACATTTTGTCAAAATGTCAGGAATTTGTGCCAGCATTGCCCCAAAATTTATTTTTTAGATTAATACTGTAACTGAAATAAACCTGGCCCTGCTACACACTGGAATGTTATGAATTTCCAAAACTTGCAATAACTGCTTCAAATGCCATCATATCGATTTGGCCTCTATGAAACACTGACAGTACTCTGAAGTTTTGCAGTATTGTGCTCGTTATCTGTTCTGGCTGGATAGCTAGCATCATTAAAGGGAAGCTACGGAGCTTCTGGGAAAAAATGAGTTAGAAGTGAATTCTAGTGTATTTCTACCCCGTGAACCCGAATACCCAAACCATTTGCTGCGTAAGTATTGTTAAAGGCGCGAAAAACGCGAAAGACAGTCGCTGTCCGTGACGTCATCGACGGCTCTTTTGGCTACCCAAGGCTAGGGAGGCGGGGCTTCAGTCCTATTTTGAAATCGCTCGTATGGCTCTCCGGCGCGTCGCATTAAAATACAATTTTGATATCTGTTAATCTAAAGGCCAAATGAACGCAATTTAAGCTTTTTTTCTCAAATGTAGAAGTGCCCCATCTTCCCTTTAAGTGCACTTGTCACCGTGCAGTGGTGTACTGCAGTGAAGCGGCAACCGTGTAGTGAGTGTTTCAGTTTTGCATATCTTGCTTCGCCGCAGCGCATCCAAGTGCTAAGGGGAATGCACTCCTCCAAAGCGGGACGTTGCACGCGGTATTTTAATAAAACTGCGGCTAGTATACATTATAGACTGCAATATTTTGACAATATCTTTTTAACATTCGAGATTTATCCCGACTTGAGTACTGTGAGAAAACTTTTATGGTCTGCTCCAGGGATGGGCAGTATTTCAAATACTTCGTGTATTTTGCATTTGTATTTAATTACAAATTGGGTAATGTATTTGACGTGTGTATTTAAATACTAAAATGTGGGTGTTCCAAAAACAATTGTAATTAAATACAATTTTGTGGGCAAAAATACATCCCTCAAAATTATTGTCATTGCCCAGAGCAGGAAGAAAACTATGTTCTGCATCGAATGCAGTGTCTCTCAATCAAGCGTTTAGTGACTTTGTGATTACGTTGCTAGTCCAGGGCAAGAATAGTGACGAAATCGACGTTCACAGGCAGACTGGCTAAATAAGTGCCTGTAACAACTTGTGATGCTTTCCAGCCTGATTTCCATCCATATTTTTGCCTGGAACATTCTATGCACAGGTAAAAAAATAAAAAAAACAATAAAAAAAATCTCTAGCTAGTGCGCGTCTTGTCGCCTCGGTACTTTGTTGGTCTATACCAAAATGTAATCGACAAAAAAAGCTGCTTGAAGCTTTGTACTTTTTTCACCTATTACGTCCAAGCTGATTACATTTTGTTGTGATTATATTTCTATTACGTTACTAGAGCCTCGCACACTAACTCCCGAGTGTGCGACGCAAAATTAAAATGAGATACCCAGAAATCCGTTGCAGGTGCCTTGAAGTCGCTGACGCAAATTTTGAGGAATGTATTTGGAAAAGTATTTGGAGGAGACCAAATACATTTGGTTGTAATTGTATCTTTTACTTAAATGCTTTTTTGGAAATGTAATTAGATTTGTAATTAAATACATTTTTGACGAAGTATTTTGTATTTGTATGTCGATACATATCTGCATGTATTTTGCCCATCCCTGGTCTGCTCCATATATTTACTTTGAACGTCAGTCAACCCTCGTTTAGTTATTACTTTTATACAGGTTCCTTTTGTTTGATGGCAAAGTGAACACGGAAATTGAAAACTAAATTAGCTGGAGTAGAATGTACGAGCATATTTATTGTTTATATTCTGATTTTTCTTATAAAATTCTGCTGATAAAGTCATTGATGTACATAATCAAATGACAAAAGCTTTGTTATTATATTAAATTAGAACTGCAGTTTTGTTACAACCTTTAGAACTTGAAGAATATATATACTTGGGTGGTTGAAATTATGATATTCCAACATTATTTAAGTGGAATATACTATTTGGTTTATGTTTGATTTCATACCTGAAATAATCATGCTCAGCAGTTTGTACTGCCCTTCATCAATCAACATCTTGTTACTGTGCCTTGTGCTTCTAAGTGTGCAGTTAAACTGCTAGCTAGGGAATTAAATCCGCCATGCTGTTGATGCCATCAAAAGGTTGCGTAGAAACAGCAAGGCAAAGCAGACATAAGCTTGCGAGTCTTAACATGACATTCACACTGGTATGAATGAAAATGGGAGGCACTCACTTGATCGAATGACGTTTTAGCGAACGCCCACGTTTCATCGAACGACACTTTAGCGAATAGTCGGACGCCGCGAAGCGGCGTTTTCGGGTGGGCCAAGTGAGTTCATATTTTTGTAACGAGTTGCCGCAGACTGTCGCCGCGAAGCGGCGTAAAGCGCAGCGCGACAGATGGGTTAACGCGCGCCCCCGTTATTCGCTAAAAGGACCATTCGCTCAAATGTCGCCGTTCGCTAAAATGTCATTCGCTCTTGTGATATGGACCCGAATGAAAATAAAATGTGTACTTATGCTCCAAAAGTGCTTTTTGCTGCTCCGAAATGAACTTTTGGTCGCATAATGTCATGTTACCTCACACTCTAATACGGAGTTTTAGCATAGCGTAAGCAAAGGCTTTGCATGTGCGAAGAATGGCGTCGTCGCCACTGCACATGCGCCGAACGCGAACTGTGTTTTGCGCTTAGCGTGTGCTTTTTTTTTTTGAAATTGCGCGCATACGTAAACAGTCTGGGTTCCTCCAAGGAGGATTCATGTCACACGAGAAGTTGTCTAAAGCCGAGACTACTACAGTTAGAAAATGGCGGCTCTCAGGACCATGGCTTTGGAGGTCATTGTAAGTGCAATGGCGGCAGCGGTGGCATCCTTGTAACTGCTGTCTTCAATACGGCACGACATTTCACTCCTACGGGAGGTGCAAGTCACAAATGGTTTGGAATACGCTTCTTGGTGAAGGTACGGGTACAAAGGTTAGTGTACACGAGATCTTTTTTGGCGTGGCGACGCAGGCGGACATGACCATTGGACCCCTTGCGTTGCATTCTGATATTTAAACAAACGTGTGAGATGAAAATTGTTACTGTATCTTGGCGACGTTGCAAGTGCGAGATGCTTGGGTTTTTGCGTCGCGGCAGAAAAACGCTATTCTTAAGCTCTCATGCACACCATGCACTAAGGCAAGTGCTAAATTTAGTGCCAGCGTGCGCTAAAATTGCATGCGTTTTTTTAATACTCCCAATGTCACGTGAAACGCTTCCCCGTTAAGTGGGGAAATTTTGGCGTCGCATGAAACTCTACTTGACATCACATGACGGTGTAATTTTTACAGGTTTGCCAAATTTTTAATGGTAGTGGAGAATGATTGTGTTCAGTAGAAAGTGCAGCACCTTGGCTGTCACCTCTGTTCGTTCACAGGACAGGGGGCCAACAATTTTCTGAGAAAAAACAGTAATTTCATCAGTGTAGCCAATTGAGTGCCCGTGTAGCAGAAAGTGTTCTTGTCCCCTCTCCCACTCACTCATCAACTCGTTTCCTCTGTCATTTCTCGTCTTCTGTGACTTCCTCCTCTGCTTCCCTCTTAAAGGGGCCCTGCAATCCTATTTAAGCGTCTACCTTTTTTGCGGTTTCCACGTCTCTTGGGGTTCGGGCAACCCGGCGGGCACGGAGAGAGTAACTAAATATCAGCACGTCAAATTTTAGCCTGACAACGCGGAAACCTCTTCCTCCTACGGGAGCGCCCGTAGTGTCAAACGCGCGCAGCATGTGACGGAATCGTGACGTTGTTGGTCCTGGTCAGCCAAGGAAAAAGCTTCCTCGTTCCCGGGCAGCTCTCTCTCCTCGGCCTCACCTCCTTTCCCCATCTTCCCTTCCCTTTTCACATTCCTCAGTCACTGCAGCAAGAGGAATGCTCCGGCGCGGGAAAGGGGGGGGGACGGAGGACCAAGGACGTCATGAAGGAGGTTATTTTTCCGCTAGTGTTTGTAATTTTAATATGCCTATGACTTTTAAAGTAAAGCAAATTTTGAACGAAGAAAAAGTTTACTAAGACTCAAATTCGGTGCAAATTTAAGAACGGTAAAAAAGTTGTTGCAGGTCTTCTTTAAACATCCATTTCTGAGGCCAGGCCTTGCAAGGGGAGACGTACGATGACCAAACCAGCTTACCAGGTCCAACCCACTGTAATCATTTGGGATTTTAATAAACAGCTTGTAAAACGTGCTGCTAACACAAAAGTTTTCAAAATCGGTTTCTTAATGTATCGTGTTGTAGTTTACTACAGAGCTGTGGCTAGGGGGCGGAAGTTTTGAGTGAAAATGTCAACAAATAAACTTGCCTCGTTCGTTCGAAGACAGGGTAGACTGTGGTTGACTACTTGGATCTGCTGCCGACAGATGATGCAACATTAAAGGATGCGGCACTGGACCCGTCTTCTCCGAATAAGAAATGGGTGGCCCTGAAGGATTACGATGTTTCTTATTTTATTTTATAATGAACATAAATAAATTATTTTAGTTTGCACGTCTCACATTACATGGACTCTTGTCATGCTGAAGGAAGCATAGTCAAAACTTTCGGAAGATTGTCTGCTAATCTTGGTGCCTTCAGCGCTGCTGACGTTTGTGGGCAGCACATCCAAGTAGGCTCGCATCATCCACTAAATGTTGCTGTAGAATGCCCAAAACAGCGTTCTTTCTTTTCTTTTGAATGACACATGTTTATTTGCTGATTTTTACTCCAAATGTCCACCACATAGTCGCACCGCTGTGCTAAATCTCAGCACACTACATTGAGAAACCGACCTCTTCATACCGTTTAAAGTTGGTTCGAAGCATTTGCCTACATGCTATAGATTGCAAGTCATCCAGGACTTTTGGCCGTACATTCGCCAGTCCAATTGCCTACTTGAACGTTTTAAAAACGGCGTCGTGCCAGCCCCTTCCGCAGCCACTTCGTTAATACAGCTTGTCTGCCTCCTCTACTGTTCCCGGAGCCCCGCTTTCGGCAAAACCCTCCTTGGGGCATATTGTTTCCCCGGTCCCCCTAACCCACGCCTGCCTCTGCCGGTCCCAGCCCGTGCAGTGCATCTCAGGGGGCGGGGACTCTGCGGTGGGCTCCACCAGCCTGGTGCTGTGCCTGCCCGAGGACACGGTGGCGGTGCAGGTGGCAGCCTCCAGCCAGGAGTCCTGGGCCTGGCTGCAGGAGGCGGCCCCGCACAGCCAGGGCCTTGTGGCCACCACGGGCGCCACCCTCGCCACTGCGCCCGGTGGCGAGGTGGTGCTGGTCATGGACTCCTCTGAAGACTCCGTGGGACTTGCGGCCAAGAGCTGGTTCAACGACTCCATGATCGCGACGCAGGCGTTGCTCACGCTCGAAACGCACAAGTGACTTCGCCGCACACGCTTCGTTGGCTGACTTGTCGCTAGGCCACCAACTCCGTTCGCTCCTGGGCTGGCGGTGGACCGACTGTCTACCCTGCGCCGTCTGACTGCGCTCTCCTCGGTCACTCGCGTTCGGAGAGTGCTATCATGTGGCCAGGGGTTGTTGACAGACGTTCGACCCATACGCTTTTTGTGCCGAATTTGTCTCGGAACTACAGCTGGTTTGCCGGTTGTTTTCATTCTTTCTTGCTTTCGACTTTTTACGTTTCCGGTGGTGCAGAATGGATATCTGATTTATTGTACATTTACTTAGAAATGAGAATTAGCTTTGGCTGACATGCTCCACCTTAACTTAGGGGTGAACGGAGTTGGGGATTTTGGCGACGGTTGCTTTTTTTGCTGTCTGTTGCATTAATTAGTCTGTGCTGCTTCATGGGAATGTTTGGTTCTTGCTAGAAAGCCTAGGGGGTTTTGTTGTTGAGCCTTGTTTTTTTTGCAAATGTGAGACTGCTTTCATTGAAGACGTTTATCTGTGCAGTGAAGTAGAAGAGGCTGTAGTTTGACGCCAGCTGACACAAATGTCAGAAGACGGTTCTTTTCTTTGTAGTTTTCCACGTGCTTCCTGTAGACTAACGCAGTTGCTGAATGTGTTGTTAAGTTTGCGACCAATGTGTTTTTGGGCGCCACAGTATACAACAGTTATATTTGAGTCAACGTTGCATTTTGAAACCTTTATAGATGCGATATTGCGCGCCGTCAGGAAAGAGATAGTACCTATAACCTTGGCCGGGGCATCCCCTTTGTCTTGTGAGGGCTAACTTGGGAGAGTGCTGATTCTCGACAGTCACTTAGCCCTCACGAAGATGATGTTTCCCGCTAGCTACTTTGCCGGCACAAAGTAAGAAAAAAACTAATAGTTGCTTGCTTCCTTCCTCTTTTGGCATGAGCTCGGCCGAACAAAGGGCGACTTTCGCATGCTTTGGAGCCTTGAAACATTGTTTTCAGTGAGGTTCCCCAAGATTTTGTGACTCCAAAGGTGTGCCAGCAGGGATTAGAGGCCCCAGGTGCAACGGTTGTTATCGAGGTTTGTAGCCTCGATGTCGAGAAGGCTTTTATGTAGGACGCGGCGCCAAGTCGTGCTCACCGCACGGTTTGAGAAGCAGCTTCGGACGCTGGATGAAGAACTGACGTGTTTTTGGAGCTTGTCATGTACATAAGAGGCACAGTCGACCTGTTTGTGCATGTACATAGAGTATTTTCCTCTTAGACTTATTAAATCGTTCACGACGCTGTCCGCTGTATTGTCAGTTGCTGATGGAGCCGTGGTTTGGTTCTGGGCCCATTACTACTAAAGGTAAGTGTTGTGCTTGCTTAGGACATGAGAAAGACTGTTTTGGGGTGTACACTACAAACCAGCTAAGACCACTGAGGGCCAACAACCAGTTTTAACTACCTGGGAATCTCCAGAGTGCAACTGTAACCTCGGTTTCACGGTGCTCGCACCACAAGGAGCCTTTTATTGTGGCACCTTCTGCTGTGTGGATCTAACTGGGGACCCAATGGCAGTTGCTGCAAGGGCAGACTACTAAGCATACATGTGCAAATTACTGTAAAAATTTTAGTTAATTTTAATATCGGTAAAAAGCTTTTTGATTAGATGGAGTCTATATTGCGTAATTCTGAAAGTACTGTTGTAAGGATTCATACCCTGGCTTAAATGTTCCTTTCGCAAATTTTTATTTTGTAATAATTTTTTTTTCTTTTCTAGTAAGCAATAATTTTTGCTCTATCCTAACAGGGAGGTGATCCTTTTCTATCTTGAGACTATTATTGCATTCCGAAAGTTTTACTGTTAGAAATTGGCAGAGTTTGCATTTCGCTGGTACCCAGGTGGCTCTGAAACAAACTCGAGGGCACGAGGTTGCGTAGGGGGCAAGCGAGGCAGCGTTCTTGCCACGGCTAGAGAGCCTGGTTTTTGAATGTAAACTGCTGCAGTGATGTGTTTGGTGTGCCATTTGCACTAAAATGCATTGCTTACCCAGCTACATCCTGTTACGTTTCGCCGAAATGCGATAAATCTGCGGCAACACTGCGCCGAAACGTAATTTCAATTTTCAGACTGATCTCCAAGGAGGACAGAAGGGCAGGAGAGGGCATGACGCCAGCTGCGTAGCATCCACAAGCCGTGCTCCCTTGACCATTTGCAAATTTCTTTTCTCCTTACCCTCCTCACTTACCAGGCCAACGTGACCACATCACGTGACCGTAGCTAGCCTTCGTCTAGCTACCGTAGTCTAGCCTTCGATCTGATAAAACCTAGGTTGCCCTAATAAAACCTACCGGACGGAGCACGCGGAAGCCTGCAAAGAATCCTACACTCAACCATCCATCTCCCAAGTGACACGTCACGCGCACCAATTGCGAGAGAGAACGGTCACGTTGGCCAGAACCTCGTTTAAACTTTTAATGACTAGGCTTCACTAATATTGCAACGTGCCCCCTCCTTGCTGATCTCCAACGAAGTGATCTCAATCTCAATGACAACTGCTGAATCGCGTTTCCCGCTCCCGCGAGTGAAGCCACCGGACGGCCATCTTGCTCGTAGACGGCTTGCGGTTTTGCTAGCGTTACAGAAGCTGGGGGCAGCGTGCTGAAGATACGTTTTTTACTCGCTCGTCGTCATTCGTCGAAGAAAGTTTTTAAGACTCGATGTATGAGTTCAGACTTGCCGTTGAGAAAACCTGGAAATTTTACGAAAGCGCAGTGCAGCAGGAAAAAGCCACAACTCGTCGAAAGCAAGTTTCGCCGGTCTCGCGTAGGGAGGCTCAAGTGAGGGTGGGTGCAACTGCTAGATCGGCGATCACGGGACATGGACGCCATTTAATTGCTAAATTTTGCTGGGAGTCTATGGGGCAAAGGGTCGTTTTCTTTCCTAACTCAGGTCATAAAAGCCCAGTAAGGTGCTTGAATAATTTACACAAGGTATAAATGATTACTTTTCCATAGCCACCAGTTTTGTTGCGATAGGTTAAGTATTTTTTTAACGCGAAAAATGGTAAATTCCGCCATCTTGGACGTTGCTGCTTGTCTGGCAACTTTGCTTTCTCCGCTCGACGTTTGCAATTCTCGGAGCGAGAAGGAAGCGAGAGAGGCTGCGCCAAGGCGCTCGTTGCTTGCAATGGGAGGCGAGAGGAGGAAAGGCGCATGGAGCAACAGAGTTGCAACCATGGAGAATAGAAGGGTAGGAGAGGGCATGACGTCAGCCGCGTAGCCTCCACAAGCCATGCTCCCTTGACGCCTCGCCTCTTTCGCATTTTCCTTCTTACTCTCACCACATCACGTGACCGTAGCTAGCCTTCGTCTAGCTATGGTGTACTAGAATACACCACAGCCTAGCGTTCGATCTGATAAAACCTACCGGACGGAGCGCGCGCAAGCCTGCAAGAATTCTCTACAATCAACCATTCATCTCGCACGTGACATGTCACGCGCACCAATCGCCAGACAGATCTGCGGTCACGCTGGGCACAAAATCGTTTAAACTTTTTATGACTAGGCTTCACTAATATTGCAACGTGCCCCCTCCTAGTACTTCTAACCTCCTTGGTTGCAACAGAGCGGGCGCCTGTTCTCGTGCAGGCAACACGTATTGTGTTTTTTTGTTTGTTATGTTGAACTTTGTTTTCGTTTCCTGGGGGTTGGGCCAACAGACGCACCAGCGTACGGGCTTCCGCCTTTCTGTTTCGCCTCGCACGCCCCCAGGAAAACACCTGTCTGTGCAAATAAAGATTATTATTATTATTATTATTATCCTTTCTCGAATCCTCTGCCTCAGGCGCCGCCATTAAATTGCAAACGCTCTTCAGGTTTCGAGTTGCGCCCACCCTCACTACAGCCTCCCTAGTCTCGCGGCGTGATCAAAGCTTCCTCTATCAAACACTGGCAGTGCTCGGAAACAGGGTTGTAAAAGTTTCTTCAAAAATGTACCTAAAATACAGTTACTCATACGAAAAGGTACCTAGGCACGTACAGTCACGATCAGAAGTAATTGGAACACGGGAGCGGTGGCCCCACTGCATTGCAGCGCGATCTAGGCACACTCGTGGGAACTGATAGGAGACTACGCGCATGCGTGCATGCCGGCCAACGAGGTTGATGCCGACAGCCTCTCCGCTTCTCTCGACCTATTCCTTTTACCGGCGGTTCGAATCGTTCTTTATCGCTTCTGGGACGCAACGCTACGTCCCCGATGGCGCTGATAGCAGACAGCGGGCACGCTTCCCGCGCTCTTTAATGTCTATAATATATCTTTAATATCTTATCTTGACACAAAAAAAAAAAAATAATAAAAACGCTGTTCGTTGCTTGGAATTAAGGGTCTTTGTCAACTTTGGGTGTAAGTTTCTGCAGCTGGCGTTGCTATCTAGTCGAGAACAATTTAAAGACCTTTTTTACGAAGCGATGCGTCACGCAGCGTTTGCCGCGTCATTGAACTTGCACCGAACCGCTTTAGAGTGCACCCGTTTCCTCAGTTCGCGCTCGGGGGGAGCTTCCTCGTAACGCTGACGTACGCTATCAACGCCATCACGGTTGCAGTGCTGTATCTGAGAAGCAGCGACGGATTATTTGCACCGCCGGTAAATGAAATAGATAGATATGTGCAAAGCGACTGTCGACGCCGGCAGGTAGGCATGCGCTTAGTCTCCTATCAGTTCCTACGAGCGCAGCTAGATCGCGCTGCAATGCAGTTGGGCCCAGAGCCGTATATTGGGAGAGTTTGGCCATTCATTGGTATCAATGGGGCGAAAATCTATTGGTTGAATAGTTGATTGACAGGCCGCTCGTGGCCAATCACAAGCCGCAAAACCTCCCCTAGCGGTGGTCGTGAGCCTCAAAAGTAAAGCAGGGTTCGGTAATTTCATTTTAGCGTCGCTAGAGTTAAAAAAGTTAACGCTCGGTGACTGAAAACTTGGTGCATGTGAGCTTTTCGTCATAGCTTTCTTTAATGGTAGAATAAACGAATGCGCACGCGGACACGTGCGTTGAAATAACGTAAACAAAAGTTTGTGTAGCCGCGGGAGTTCCGCCGTTCCGGTCTTGTTTGAAAAATGGGTCGTTGTTGTGCTCTGAAGTGCCGGAACAGAGCTTCCAGGGGAATTCGCTTGTTCAAGCTGCCGAAATCCCCGAGGAGACGGAAACTGTGGCTTTCAGGAATCAGGCGTGGCGCGGGGTGGAAACCTCCCGACAGAACGTACCTTTGCGAGGTGAGGTATTGTTCATTGTTAATATTGTGACGCGAGCACGGTGGACGCGAGTGCACTGTGACGAAACCGTGTATTTTGTGATCTATTCTCTATTGCCGGGGAAGCGTCCTGTGCGCTTTCGCTTCACCGCAGAAAGACGAGTGGTTCAGGCCTGTGGCGGTCGTGCGATGATGGATTTGTAAGATCGCGTATTTTGAAAGCGTGAGCCTCTCGTCAGCGGAATAACTGTACTGTGACGCGAGCGGCTGAATACACAGTTTTGACGTCTACCAAAACGTTATTCGCTGCAGGACCACTTCGAGCCCTCCCAGTTCCAGACGAGGTGCTCTGACGGCTGGAGGAGGCTAAAAGCCACAGCTGTTCCGAGCTTGTTTCTGCATTCTGAAAGTCAAGTGAGTGTGTGTAACGAGGATAAGTGAGATTTTTGTTCTTTTGGTATTTACCTAGATTATGAGAGTGAATTAAAAGCAATAATTTATCTTGTGTTAAGATGTTTTTACTGATATGATTTGAAAGAGGCACAGGTGACCTATAATAATGTGGACTTGGTAGGCTGTGGACATCTCTGTTCCATGTCAGAGACCTTTTTTTTTTTAAATCGGAGTGGTCCTTGTGCAAGAGTGCATGAGACACCATCATTCAGTGTTGCAGCCTGACACAGCACAAAACCCCGCCTCATGGAAATGTAAGTCAAAACCCAATAACTCATATTCTGTTGCTTCTATTAAGTTAATGCATGAGGCATTCATCACTCTCAGCTGCCTTGTAATGTTATGACAGCCTCACCAGCTAAGTATCTGTCATGGTTCTTGCATGGCTTGGAGTGATCTCGTGAGGTGGGCAACACCCAGTGGACCATTTGCAGAATTAGTGGTTCGAGAGTGCATGGCTAAAAGACGAGAGTTCCCTGGCCGCAGGCACGTCCACTGCGTCCCGTTGGCTTATTGTGTCGCATTGACTTAGATAGAGCTCCCCCAAAACCACTTTTGTCCCCCTTGAGGATTATCTTTCACCCCGAGGTAAATACA